AAAAATACTTTGTTGGATTTGAATGTAAACATGTTGTATATCTCAAAGGAATTTACAATTATCTTTATTTTATTTATTTATTTTTTAATTAATAAAATTGGGAAAGAATTATAACATAAATGATACATATTAGTGCCCAAATAGCAGGAATATTATACATATATATCTCAAGGAAAAAAAGAAATGCCTACATAAAACAAAATTTATTTTTCCTGACTATTTTTACAAATTTTTATTACTTGTTAATTATACACATACAAATTTTTAAACAATGTGCCAATGACACACATAGAGTAGTGCCTATTTTTATTTTTTTATTTTTTGTTTGTGTCTCCACTACCCACTTCTATCTTTTCTTTTTACTAGAAAAAAAACATCAGTTAGTCCAAAAAAAAAAGAACAGCTTTTATATAATGAGATTTGAAACATGAAAATAGGATTCTCAATTGAAACTGGTATAATAGTCGGTTTCAACATAATCATAATCATTGTAAACGTATTGATCATTTTGATACTATGTCGAACAAATGGTCTTAAAAATGTCAATAAAGTGTTTTTCTATTCGCTCACATTGGCAGATTTATGCCTCGGCCTCTTTATCACTCCATACTCCATCTTGACCTCATTTTTTGGCCATTGGATATACGGTAATAACCAATTCTGTCAGATTGAAGCTTACCTGGTCACTATTTTCTGGATTGCTGGACTTTACTCTCTTATGTGCATCAACGCTGACCATTACGTTGCCATCCAACAACCAGAACGCTATTCTACTCTCATGTCCCCAGTCCATTGTATCTGCTGGACTATGTTTATTTGGATTGTGGCTTTCAGTTTTTGTTGCCCGCCATTGTTTGCAATCCAGCATGCTAAATATTACAAGGAAACTTACATCTGTATAGTCGATACTAAACTGCAGCTAGCTTATTTCGTCACTGCTGGGCTCATTACAACTTGCCCACCAATATTTGGATTGCTTTACACCATTTTCTACCTGTACTTACCAGCTTTTCAAGAAAGACGCCAAATCTACGAAATGTCTCTCCAGGATATCACATCTCGACCCCAGAACTATGTGATGAATTCTATAGCTTCTGTAATGTGCATCCTAGCTTGGATACCATGGTGTGCACTACAAGTGCATAATCAAAATGCAAGCCAGCAGTCATTGCATTTTTATTTTCTCTGGTTGGCAATTGGCAGTTCATTTTACAAATTCTTTGTCTACTTGATCATGAGTAGGGAGTTTCGCAATGGTCTATACCAACTGTGGAACAATTGTTATTGTTTGTATACCAGCTCACGACCTCATGATGAAAGCATTAACTCTATCACATTATATCCGAAATAAAGAGAACAAAAATATTTTGTTTTTGTTTTAAATGATTTTTTTTTTTTAAATTTCCAGTGTCTCTTTTTATATTTTTATATTTTAATTCATGTTTACTTTATGCAAAAGAAATCATTGGCAGTGGGAGGGGAAATCTTAGTTTCAAAGATTTGAAATATCTTTTGATAGTTAAAGAAAACATCTGTCCTAGTTTCAAAACAGTTTTTCTTTTCAGTTGAAATTGCAGGTATAAACCTCTAATATCTGCTGCATGACTGCATCTCCCCATGGAACACTAGTTCACAAACTAGTTTTAAAAACTATTGTAGTCGGTATGTTTCACACTCTCAGCTTGGTGTTAAAACAAAAAGTGTAGGGCAAGGAGACTATACCTCCAATGTTGATATTGAGAAATGAGGCATAAGTTCTCTCTTATTCTGTCTTTTGTTCTGATTTTCTCATTCTCTCTTTTGCTCCCTCCTCTCACTCTCAAGTGAAGGATACTTATCTTTTAGAGAGACTTGTTCTTGAATTTGCATAAATGTTCAGTTTTGGTAGTAAGTCTACTGTATGCACATTGTCCTAAGACATGAGTTCTACTCACAGATGGGCATAACACCGGGCTAGAAGAATAACTAATAAATATGAATAATTCTAGTAAACCAACAAATATTCTGTGTACTTACAGTTTTTGTCCTGATTTATAGTTATCAAACCATCGGTCACCATAGATGTGGTGGTCTGCAAGCATTAGTTGAAATGTTCACAGGTTGACCAAGATACTCTCATGGAATGTGACTAAAAAAGATTTATTTTTCAACATAGTTCCCCTTGCAGTCCACAAACATCTTCCATTAGTGTTGCGGTGCTTGGAGTTCATTCATGAAGCTGCTTTCATCCTGTTGGTCCCAACCAAGTGTTTTTTATGTTGGGGAACAGATGGTAGGAGAAGGGGACGGTCAACCAGATCAAAGCTAGTTATACACAGCAGCCATTAAGATCAAGGACTTGTGTGCTGGGGTATTATTCTGATGAAACCAGACCCCCTTTTTTTTTTTTTTGAGCATTTGTTCTTGATAGCTTTTTATAATACAATACCTTTCCCATCCCCAAAAAACTGAGGTTATCACCTTCACTGCAGATGAAACAACCTTTTGGAAGAGGGGTGTTTCCTTTGAATGGGTTGTCCCTGGCTCAAAGTAATGAACCCAACACTCATCCTGAATTAGGATATATTCAAGGAATCTAACTAGATCTGCCTCAAATAATGTTAAATTTTTACCATGATGTAATCAGGCTGCTGCACTTTTGTTCTGGTGTTAGAAGACTGAGCAGAAACCATTGTCATACAAAGGTCATTGTGCAGAATATTTTCAACTCTCTCCCAGGATAATGCTAATAGCATTGGCTGTTTAATTTAGTCAGTTGCCGTTATCATCATTTGGTGAAAATGATCAATGTTTTCCTCAGTGGTGGCAGTTATAGGATATTCAGATCTGAGATCATCTTTAAGACTCTTCTTTCGACCTCTTAAATTCATCTGTTCACTTTTGCACTGCTGATGAAGATGGGGTGTCATCCTCTAGTATAACAACCATATGAGCATGAATGTTCTTGGAGGCTAAACTAGTTTTCAACAGGTACTTGATAACACCACAATGTAAAATTTTGTCCATTTCCAAGAAGTTGCTACTAGTTACTTTTGATGTCTTTGAACATTCAGATGACAGTTTACTTGGATTAATAAAAGTTGAAATTAATGCATACAAGGTTTTACAGCACTAGCATCACACCTTCATAGTCAGCTTATGAACTTTTCTGTCCTTCCTTGAACATGTACATTTCTGATTTAATTTTTGTTTTTTTTTTTTTTTTTTTTTTTTTTTTTTTCTTCCATTTGATTGTTAGATCTGTTTATGCAGAAACAGCCTGAAAATTGAGTGGCTGTGATGTGGTTATGCATAAAATGCTTCCTGTATTTATTATTTACCAACAGCTGACCAGTTAAGAAATAATCATAAAAGCCTATTTAATAGAATAAGACATGAAATCACTGGCATTTTGAAATATAAAAGTAATATTATTTATAGAAAGAAAATCGCTCACATGAATGAGAAAATATGTGAAAACTATTAATCATTTTCAATATTAAAAAAAAAAATATTAATAAACAAAAACAACTGAGTGAAGGCACTTTTCTTAGAAAATATTTGTATCTTTTATAGCAGAAGTGTAAGACAGAATATAACAATGTATTTTTGAAATGAACTTGATAAATTCTTTCAGTTTACCTACAATGAAATAGCTTGTATGTTACTAATGATAAAACTTAACTATGTCAGTAATTGTGAACAGTCTTCTTTAATACACATTTGCCTCTTTGTGTAGTTTGGTAAACAAATAGATTGTATTGTTTAAAAATCCCTCAAGTTCAGAAATACTTTTTTCTTTTGTCTTTAAGTTTTGTAAAATAAAGGGATTTGGTAGAAAATCACTTTACCTTAATTCCAAGTATCTTTGAGATGTCTTTAGGACAAATGCTGAAAATGTTTTTTTTCACTTGGTGACTGTCAAATTTTTGGAGGAATGAAAATATTAAAACTAGTTTGGATTTTGAGACAAAAATTAATAATACATTGGTTTTGCTTGCCAAAATAAGTATTTTTATGACGATACAAACCAAATGATAATGTCATCTAATGAACAACACAAGGCTTAAATCTTTCACATTTGATTTTATTTGTTTAATGGCATATCAACTCCTTATAGGTCATTTAATGCCAAAATTTTTCTTGTGAGCTTTTAGTTAATAAAAATGTTATTTTGCTTTCACAATTAAATTCATGGTAGATAATACTCAGCTTTTGTGCATATACACATTTGATTTTGTTTAGTAGCATGGTTTATTTAATGCTGAAACCTAAATATTTTGTACATGATTTTATATTTCAAGATAAAAGGTAGGATTTTGTCTACATATTTTGTAGATCATAAAATGTATTGCTGGTAATTTCACTATAAAAATGTATTGTTGGTAATGTTTTTTTTATAAAATTGTATTGCTTGTATTTTTATATTTTGTTATTTGCTCCTATCTGGGACCCTAATAAGTGCCACCACCCTGGGTCAAGTTGGACCTGGGAACAACAGCAATTAAGAGATGGTTCCATGCTCCTCAAAACCTCCAATCTCTTTATCAGAGGCCTTGCTGCCACATGTAGTTTATCATCATATCTAGGATCTTTCATATTTAACATTAAATTTTATTCAGTTCCTGACTTCATCAATAACTATCAGCCAGTTTGTGTGTGTCCCCCAACCTTGGAGCCCCTAACCAAAAATGAGTACCTTATATTATCATCTGTGATATCTGAGAGACTCTCCAAATCGTCTCTGCTGTAGTTGTTTATATATCTCTGTCATGTAGCACATTCCCATGCTTGCAAAATCTAGATACAACATTCTGCATTTGTCAGCCAGGGGGTCAACTCTGTTTGCCCCTGTACCTGACTCCATTGATGGCTTGGTGTGAAAATGAATGCAAATTCTATTCTGACATAACACTACAATATTTTAATTTCCATATTTTTGTGTTCTTTTAAAAAAAAATTCCTGTTTTTTTTCATATTTTTGATGGAAGATTTGATATCAAAGTTTTCATCTATTACAGAGATACTATGGAGAGTCACTTCCATTTGGTCCAACCAAAAGTTTTCAGATTCCTTATATTGGTCTCTTGACAATGAGACAAGCTTTGGCAGATTTTGCTCATCTTGTTAACACCCTGAAGAATCAGCTTGGAGCCCAAAAGTCTCCTGTTATTGCATTTGGTGGAAGGTTAGCCCTTATTTATTTTATTTTTTTATTTTTTTTGTCTTATGTTGTCTGTCATATGCCAGTGCTTTAATACAGTGGTTCTCAACCTATTTTACTCACTACACCTTCTTCACCATCTTGCAGAATGCCATTCCTCACTTTCTAAGACTTTCCAACTTGAATATTGCATTCCAAATAATATGCATATTTTATTGAAAGTCTTCATTGTTATCCATATTATGCATATACATTTACATAGACTATTTTATAGAGGAGTTTTACAAATTCAATAGCAATAGAAAATGTTGATGGATTTTTAAACTTGAATACATGTACATTAATTTCTTTTAATCCAGAGCTAATTATTAATTAACTGTAGCATGCTTCAATAAACAAAAAAATTCTATAGAATACCAAGGTACTGTAATTTAATAAGCAAAATTCTGTAAATAAAAAAAAATAAGCAAAAGTAAAATACTCCCTTCTCCTGAAATTACACCCTGAGGGATTCCCCCCATTGGTTAAGAGCCCTTTTAATATAACAGATTTGACCATATGCTGTAAAACAAGTTGTCAGCAATTTATGCATCCAAAAATCTAAAGGAAAGCACTAAATCTAAATTGCCTTTGAATTTTTGATGGTATACAGGTTTCAGGTTACACAATAATTCCTCTAAATATTGAGAGAGGAAATGCTATTAGAAAACTTTCTCCTTTTTGACAGCAATTAAGTTTACCAGACATCTATAATTGTATTGTAATGGGGAGAGCTAGAGTAGACAAGTTTATTCTCCCCTTAGTATTTCCCTTATTATGAGCATTATATCTGTGATATGTCAACATCCTATTTCATGGATGGAATGGAATAGCTAAAAGGAATAACAAACATGCTTTGTTCTCAGAGAAACTTTTATACCACTAAGACATACACAAATTTGTGTGTGTGTGTTCCATGCAGAGAAAAATATATCACATACACCCACACAGCAAAGCAGAGTGTAAGGAGAAACTAAAAGGAAGGGTCTTACATATCTTGTGAAAGATATATTCCCAAAAAGAAGTAGCCATGTGCTTGTAAACTGCTGGGAGAGGCTGATTTAGCCTCAGCCCAAACCCCTTGGCACAGGGGGGTGGGGGGAAAAAAGCAACTGCCTTGTTTGATTGCTGTAAACTGAAATCGACTGCCACTTTCATCACTATATAGAGTGATGTTACTAAGCAGCTGTCGTGATTATTTCCACTAAAGTGAGATAATCGCCTTCTGTATCCCTACAATATTATAATTTGAGCTTACCAGACACTTCTCTATAATTGTATTAATAACTTGAGCTTACAGTTAAATCATCCTGTAAGTTCTCATTTTTGCCCCTGTAAAACATAAATACTAAACAGAAAACATGAGAAAACTATTTGAAAATACTGAAACTCAACATAATGTCCTACCTTAATGAAATAGGTTTATACCAAAACATATAACACCTACTACACATCATGTACAAACTACATATATGTATAAAACATGTTTACCCTGGAAGTAGAAAATTGTGTACAAAATATCTAGTTGAAGCCAGAAAATTGTGCACCAAATATTTAGATTTCAGTATTATATAACCCAGAGATGTTTAAATACTGCTCAACAAAATCAATCAAACTGACCAATCATTCAATCACTTTGTCAAACCTGGTCATTATTCAGATGGAGGGGATCACTTGGGAACACAGGATAGTGTACACAACCTCCTATAATCCAAGATAAGTCTTGGCTTTAAACCAACCACAAAGTCATAAGCCATAAAAAAACTAAATTATGTATTGCTGATGAAATATCATTAATTACTTTATCTTGCCTTGCAATTTCTCTGTCAGTAGCAATCTTCTCTTTGTCAATCTCTCTATATTTGTTTGTTAAACACTGACTTTTTATATATTATCTAATTTTCTGGCTAAGCTCTTAAAGAAAATGCTGTAAAATTTATAACTCTTTGTATTCTTATAGTAAGAAGTAAGTTCCATTTGAACAGCTTCTTCTCAAGAGTGGATGCTTTGTGGCAGAGAGTCCCCACAGAATATTTTCCCAATTACTACAATCTTGACCTCTTCAAGTTTAGTGTGAACTGTTATATTTCCTACATAGCCCCATGAACTTCTGTTCTTCTTCTCATGTACTCCAACACCACACAGTAACCTTCTATTTTGAGTGAATTTTGGGTCTTGTGCTGAAGGAACATTAGTGTGTATGTATGTATTTTATATATACAAACATATGTATGGATTTTAAGCTGCTATTGGCCTGGAAGGTAATTTAGTTGTGGGAGTGACCCTTTTTTTTGGCCAAATGCTCACTCACCCACTCTATTTTCTATCATCCATTGTGATCTATGCCAGCAACATGAAAAACTGCTGGGTAACTTTACAACAGAAGAGATTCATCAGTTTGTTTGAATTTTTAGGAATCTCCTGCTTTTGGAAATAGGTAGTGTAGCAGTTATCAGTGTGGAGAGTGGAAAAAGTGAATGGCGTTCAAATTCCAGCTAAGTTTGTTGCATTCACTATCATAATATTGAAATAGATGGATGTTAAGAGGATTTAACATCAGTTTCAGTAAAATGGAAAAAGTTGTCAATTTCAAATCTTTTCAGTTCTATTCACTTCTTAAAGTAACAATCAGCATTCATACATATTGTTATTGCAATATTTTGTTAAAGTTGCTAAGCTCAAATATTTAATGATGCAATAGGGGAATTTCTACAGATATTTTATTGATGCCATTAGATTATTCAATCATTAACTGAAAAACTAATTTTCATTAGTAAATTCACACAGGAAAACTGGAACCTTCATGGGTTAAAACTAGTTTATATTATTTTATTTATAAATAAAATGTTTAGTAATCATTTTTTTGTCTGGTTTTTGTTTTATTAAGTTACAATTTATAAGAAATTTCATTTTATATCAATAATTTAAAGTTCTTGACAGCTCTTCTCTCTTCTTTTTTATCAGTTATGGAGGAATGCTGGCTGCATATTTCCGAATGAAACATCCAAGTGTCTGTGATGGCAGCATTGCAGCCAGTGCCCCAATTTACCTTCTGAATCCGAAATTCGATCATGGTTTTTTCTTTACTGATGTCACTAAGGTGAATTTTGATTCTTTCACAATACTTTCCTTATTATTCTTCATCACTTTACTCCCCAACCTTCATCGGGTGTCTGTTGTATTTGGTATTGTTCCAGGAATGTCAAATGAAATCTGTTTTGGGTAAAGTGCTGCAGAAATATATCTGAATTTAATGAAGAGGAGCCTCATAAGGAAGAAATAACAATTAAAAGTTCTGAAATTCTCTTTAATGGACAGGTATAGGAAAATATACAACATACAATACGACCATCACCCAAGTTTGTGTGTGTTGTAATGGTAGTACAATAGTTAGCCACTTGGAATGAACAATCAACAAGCAGTTTAAATTCCAGATGAATTTGTTGCATTCAGTTTCATGCAAATACTCTTGGGAAAGGTATGAATGTATGAATTCACCCTTTCCCACCCCAGCTATAGGTTAAATTTTAACATATTTCAACCTTAGTTGGCAACCTGTTTAGGAGGACAACTCCAGATTAAGAACCAATTTGTCATGGGCCTAGCAATGCCATACCTTAAAAAAAAAAATTACTTGCTATGGAAACCGCCACAGCAATGCTTAGCATGTTAGGTTTGGCTCTATATACCTCAGTGAAGTCCATGGAATTTGAGTGATATACGTATATAAAAATTCATTTGAATAACACTAGGTCTGTGATGTGGTATGGAGTTTACAAGGTACTGGGGTCCTTTGATGCGTGTATATCTAGCCAGGCTTATTCCAGGACTGAGTTGATTATCAAACATGACTGAGTTGATTATCAGACATGACTGAGTTGATTATCAGACATGACTGAGTTGATTATCAGACATGACTGAGTTGATTATCAGACATGACTGAGTTGATTATCAGACATGACTGAGTTGATTATCGACATGACTGAGTTGATTATCAGACATGACTGAGTTGATTATCAGACATGACTGAGTTGATTATCAGACATGACTGAGTTGATTATCAGACATGACTGAGTTGATTATCAGACATGACTGAGTTGATTATCAGACATGACTGAGTTGATTATCAGACATGACTGAGTTGATTATCGAACATGACTGAGTTGATTATCAGACATGACTGAGTTGATTATCAGACATGACTGAGTTGATTATCAGACATGACTGAGTTGATTATCGAACATGACTGAGTTGATTATCAGACATGACTGAGTTGATTATCGAACATGACTGAGTTGATTATCAGACATGACTGAGTTTGATTATCGAACATGACTGAGTTGATTATCAGACATGACTGAGTTGATTATCGAACATGACTGAGTTGATTATCAGACATGACTGAGTTGATTATCGAACATGACTGAGTTGATTATCAGACATGACTGAGTTGATTATCAGACATGACTGAGTTGATTATCAGACATGACTGAGTTGATTATCAGACATGACTGAGTTGATTATCAGACATGACTGAGTTGATTATCAGACATGACTGAGTTGATTATCAGACATGACTGAGTTGATTATCAGACATGACTGAGTTGATTATCAGACATGACTGAGTTGATTATCAGACATGACTGAGTTGATTATCAGACTGGAGTTGATTATGACATGACTGAGTTGATTATCAGACATGACTGAGTTGATTATCAGACATGACTGAGTTGATTATCAGACATGACTGAGTTGATTATCAGACATGACTGAGTTGATTATCAGACATGACTGAGTTGATTATCAGACATGACTGAGTTGATTATCAGACATGACTGAGTTGATTATCAGACATGACTGCATGGAATTTAGTTCTGCAACATGACCCCTATACATGCTCAGCAAGATTTAAATCTGATGAATGTAAAGACCAATGACATGCTTTAATGTCAGCTAAATAGTTCTGGAACCATTTTGTGTCCCCCATGGATGACGGTGTATTGCTCTATCTTAGCAACAAACCCTTCTAAAAATGTCCTGCATAAACAAGTGTAAATGGTCTGTAACAAAACCTTTGTATGCCACATGTCAAGATAGTATCTACTTTTACTAGTGATTCTTCAACCACCATTAAAATTGGTGTCTGTCTTAACAAGTTTGGCATACAAAGATTTTGTTGAAATCAATATCCAATAGAACATACCTTATACCACTACAGAGCTATAACCAGACTAGATCCATGGTCTCCTCTATACATAGGCTCCACTTTTTACTCAAAAGATTTCTTTGACTATGTGACACCAGACTTTGATGGTGCAGTAGGTGATATTGTCCAACCCAGATGAGGTGTAATAACCAATGCCATAGTGTCAATAATCAATAACCATTATACCAATAATTGTTCCCTTATTGTGTAAAACCAGCCAAATTGATGACAGAAATAGTGCACAGTGTGTTACAATATCATTAAATATTTCCTCCTCATATTTGATTCAATTTTCTTTCTTGACTGGTTACGACACAAGTCAAGAGAATCCAGTCTGCTTATTTAAACCATAGTTTTCCAGGACATTAGGATTGATTGGTTAAATTGGTGATTCCAGTTGATTGCACTGACAACAATTACAATAACGGCACATCCATATATATATATATATATATATATATATATATATGACAAAAGGAAAACTTAGCTGACAAGTTTCATCTTCAGAGGACGAAATGCATCGGCTAAGTTTTCCTTTTTTTCTTTTTACAGATGTACTCTAGCTTAGGTACCGTCATGAGATCACTCAAAAAGAGCATAGCATGATGAAAAAGATGCCAAACTTGATGAAAACAAAATTTTATCATCTAAATGTTTGTTATTAAGATGGAAGATCAAGGTATTTTGGGAGTATTTTTTTACATTTTTTAATCGTGCCTAGCACGTCCAAAATTTTTGTTAGAAATCTTTTTTGAGTCAGCAAAACTGATAATCATATCAACCATTTTTTTCCATTTTATAAAGAAAATGAAAATCTCAATTTCAAGTTCTTTTAAAAATCAATTATAATTTTTTCAAAATTATAGTCTTTTTACTTAAAATATTTTGCAACGAGCATTACTTAGTTTCTGTACTGAAAAGTAGTTTAAAAATAAGATAAAGTAGGTTATAACATTTCGCGTCACTTGACAGATGATGATTGATGATTTCATTGTGTATTGACAGCTTATGTGAGGAAAATTTATCATACAGGAGGACAGAAGTGATATTTAGAAGTTATTTAGATTTAAGTGAACAAATTATTTACCTCGTTATTTTTAAGGAAAACTTTCAGCGCTTTTTTTTTTTTTTTTTTTTTTTTTTTTTTGTACTTAGCTTTCACTTTTTACAATGCTTTATGGAAAATATATTATAAAAAAATAAAATAAGACTGTTAAGAGTGAGATTAAATTTCATAAGAAAGGTATCTAATTAATTTTTTATGAAATTTTTATCAGAGGTGTACATAAAATACTATAATTTTATGTACATTTACTGTGTTATTTGTATTTCTATTCATTTCATTATTAATTTTGATATTTCATAAGATGATACTAATACTTGTAGGTACCCTTCTCAGTTGAGATTGAAAAATCAAATTAATTTCTCCATGTGTTTCGCAAAAATAAAGGCCTTAACAGCAGAGAACAAGGCTTAACTCAAATAACGCAACTTGATTGTGTTCTTGCTGGTCTTCTGTACTTTATAATTACATCTGTATTATAAACACAAAATTACATTTCTTAATTACTGCAGGTCTTCTGATTGGTCAGAATTATACAATTTACAATGCGCTAAAAAATGATTTATCTCATAAGGATATTTACAAAACTGAATGCAGCTTTTAACTAATTTTATAAATGTAAAAATCTAATATAATTAAAGAAATAACAAATAATTGTACTACTGTATTGCTTTCAGAAAATATTGCCCTTATAAAAACAACTAAAAGCAAATAAAAGCATTTGAAATTAAATAATATATTTGTTTTATTGAGTTTTGTATGTTACAATTCAGGGCTGGTTTTTAGGTAGGGGATGTCCTATTAAAAAATATGATTTACTTTCCTCAAAGCCTTGTGCTTTTATAACTAATATAATCACTAAACTGAATGCAATTGAATTTCTAGAGTTTTCATAAAATTAGATATTGGGACAGGTAATAAATATAAAAAAAATTTTTTTCCATGACTTTAAAAAAAGAAAACATAATTTCCATCATTTGTGTATAGTTTCTGAATGTTTCATTAACATCTGACAATTATTTTTATTTTTGCAAGATTTTCCAAATGAACGTCTGTCATACAAAAAAGGAAAAAATGTGCTAAAAATTTATTTTATTAGTTTCTGTGATACAAAGAGAAACAAGATTTTTTTATTTTTTTTTTTTTTTTTTTTTTAAATCAAAATTTACAATGTTCTAAAAAGGAAAAAATTTTAAAAATAATTAAGAAATACTTTGGTCTTTCCTCTTAACAAACATTTAGATGCTAAAGTTTTGTTTTCGTCAAGTTTGGCGTCTTTTTCATCAGGCTATGCTTTTTCTTTTTTCTTTTTTTTTTTTCTTTTTTTTTTTTTATAACAATCTCATGAAGGTACCTACTCAAACTGAAATATTTATATACACACACGCACACATAATAAAATACAATCGTACTTGGTAAACTCCAATTATAACAAAGTTGGCAATTAAAAGTGCTTAATATAAGATAGAGCCTATAAAACAAGACAAATGAAGAATAAAAAAGTTTCACCCTAAAATTGAAGGATCATCAGGCCAGGTTCAGTTTTTATTAGGTGTCACTTGGAGTTTACATTGTAAATATGGTGAACATATTGTTTATTACCATTTTTCAGGTGAAACTTGAGCTACTTTGGTCTTATTTTTTTATTCTTCATTTTTCTTATGTTTATATATATATATATATATATATATATATATATATATATATATATATATGGTCCATTTGTTCTTTTTATGATGTATAAAATAGTTAGGTTAGTTAATAATAAAACAAGAACAAACCAAAGGGTACCGATATAATCAGTACGATAAACATTTATTAAATATTAATTATTAACCATATGACAGAAATGAATCGCACAGGTTTTAAGTTCAGAATTTTTGGACACGTGTCCTTCATCAACAGATTGAGGGATAAAAAGAGAAATGGCAGTTACAATTTTTATAGAAAATGTTTGTTTTTTTTTTTCTGGTGGAAGTTGTATTGTTAGCAAAGTGTGAAACTTTTATGAAAATAAATTTAAAATTTTGATTGGTGTAAAAGCCTTAGGCAGGTCTATTATTACTAGTGGGGGAGTGAGATTGTAAACATTGATGAAGGGAGTTATAGGTTAGGGAGGGGGAAAGATATCTGGTGTGTAGCAAGTTGTAGCAAAAATTGTTGGAACAAGTCAAGTGTAGAAAGATGTGATGAAAAAAAATGAGGAAAAAATGGAATATGCCATATTAAAAAAAAAAAAAAAAGTGAAGAAACAAAAATGGATAAATATTTGGAAATCTATTATTAAAAAAAAAAAAAAAAAAAAGTGGATAAACTGCAAGGAAAAACACATATATATATATAATATGCACATGCATACATAAGTGTGTAAATATACACAAGCCACCACACAAGCATAGGAATCTCAATACACATAAAGATATAAATACATATACATGATTAATATGTATCTACATTAACCTTCCCCACTCTTTACATAAGCTTATATGTAAAGGAGTCATAGTGTTACAATCAATGATGGTATAAAAGAGGGTGACTGGAAAGTAGCCTTCAGTGTACAGAGTAATACTTTCATTACATAATAGTGAGTTATGAGGGAAATCATAGGTGGTAGAACATAAAAATATAGTAGGTAGGTGATGGCTGTTAAAATGTGGGTCGAGGGCTTATTGTCCGAGGAATGGTGTTGCTGATAATGGGTTTCCTTGTGGAAATTGTATGCTCTAAGTAAACACAAATCCCTGTTTAGTCCCTCTATGTGAGAATTTACTTTTAGGATATGCTTCAACTACAATCGGCATCAATTCTCCTGGCTACCAATGGTGTGTGTAAAGGGAAGGTTAGTGTAGATATATATTAATCTTGTATATGTATTTATATCTTTACGTGTATTGAGATTCGTGTTTTTTTGGTGGCTTGTGTATATTTACACACTGTTATGTATGCATGTGCATCTGTTTTTCCTCTCAGTTTTTTATTATTTTTTCTTTTATTTTATTTTCTGCACACACATTTTTTTTGTTAAGAATAGATTTCCAAATTTTTTTTTTTTTTTTTTTTTTTTTCTTGTTCCTTTCCTTCACGTTTTTTCTCTCGTTCCTTTCTCTCTCATTCCTTTTCCTTTCCTTTCACTCTCTGTTCCTTTCACTCTCGTTCCTTTTCCGTTCCTTTCTCTAATTTCCTTTTTCGTTCCTTTCTCTCGTTCCTTTCACTCTCTCGTTCCTTTCACTCTCTCGTTCCTTTCACTCTCTCGTTTTACACCTGGAGAAATCAGATCGGGTTTTTGTTAATACAATTTCCACCAGAAAATACACCATCTACAAAAATATCTGTTGGTGAGCAATTGCCATTTCTCTTTTTATTCCTGTTGATTTTTGGACACGGGTGTGTCCAAAAATTCCAAACTTAAAACCTTTCTCTTTGTGCTTCATTTCTGTCATATGGTTAATAATTAATGTTTATTGTACTGATTATATTGGTACCCTTTTGTTTGTCCTTGTTTTATTAACTAATCTATTTTACACACGCACACCTACCTCATCAACATCCCTTTATCATGCTAGGACAGATGTGGACAAACTACAGCTCTTTGGACACATGTGACCCACACCTCTGTGCTTGGCAAAACATCATTGGCAGTTGTTAGTAAATGTATTATAAGCTGGCCAGTTTAAAGATCTTTTTCCTTCAGTGAGATTGCAAGTGAATAATTTGTTAGCCACTAAGATTTCCAAAAAATATATCAATCTTTCTTTGTGGAATGTTTTTCGTAGTTAAGAAAAAGTGTACCTAAGTAGTTGAAACATATTGATTACAGCTGTGTTAATGAGGTTCATTGATATTAACTCATTTTCGAAGAGTTAACTGTGTGACTATAGAATACACCGGAAAGTCATGTAAGTTTTCTTCAGACAATGATAGCCTGGACAGAACAGGTGTAACAGTTGCCAACAGACAATTCACAAACAAATTAGACTTCCAAACAATGCATCCATTTATACAGCTGAGCTACAAGCCATGAAAATGGTGCTTGAAATGATCAAAAACTCAGACAGAAAATTCATATTTTCAGAATCCCTATCCAGCCTAACAGCAATTGACAGAAAAAACACAAACCATCCTTACATACATGAAATATTAGAAACCTGTCGCTATTTGATAAAAATCTATCAAATAATAATCTTGGTCTGGCTTCCTAGCCATGTAGGCATTAAGAGAAATCAAAAAGCTGATGCACTGGCAAAAGAGGCAACCAAAATGACAGCGAACATTAGACTCCCATATACACATTACAAAAATAAGATCACACAATACATTAAAAGAAAATAGTAAACAATTTGAATAATGTTTCCAAACAACCTGTATGAACATCATTTGACAGTCACTGGAAAATGGAGAACAATTACCTGATCAAAGACAGGACATAGTGCTAATCAGTCAGAATTGGACATGCACATCCTACACCTACATACTCAAAGCAAAAACTTAATCTCTGTACATCTCCTGTGGTCAATTGCTCACATTAAGCACATCCTAATAGACTGCATCAAATACAAGAAAAAAAAAACAAATACTATGATGTACAAAATCTTACCAACCACAGCAAATTCTGGTAGTAGAGGAAAAAATGAAAGAATAGAGTTGGTTATTGAAAATTTTAGAGATTTGGACTGAGGAATTTTCAGCACTACTTGTATTTCTTGTGATTTAAGCTCTTTTAACCTAAAATTTGTTTTCGGAGGAATAAGTTGTTAGGAATGTGAAACAAATGCTACTGACAGAAGAAGACTCTTATATGTATTCAATTCAATTACTTTTATTTCCTTTCTTTTTTTTTTTTCATAAATCATTTTAGGATTTTGCCAATTCTTTCTTTGGTTGTGTTTCGAGAATCAAAAAGGCTTTTATCAAGATGAATGAGTTAATGGCAGAAGGCAAAAAAGGTGAGACCAATTCTAAACCCTTTCTCTAAAATCCTACCCCATGGAGGAGTTAAAAAAGAAAAAATTGTCATTTTTAAACGCAAATTCATTTGAGTACACTTGAGTTTCAAGTAAACCGTGTAATTGGAATAAAAGAGGTGGCTGGATTTAAAAAAAAAAAAAATGATTTTCAGTAATCAAACCCTAGTCAAGAATGGTTGCTGCCTAAATCAATTTGGAGGAAATTTCCCACATATTTAATCAAAGAGGTTGCTGGAATATGGATGTCCTGGGTGGTGTTTCTCCCTCAGATAATTATCATCCCACCCACCCCTCTATTTGTAATTCAAAGGTAAGCTAGACACCCATTTTATGCTCTACTTCAAAATACTTATAAACTAACAAATTTAACAAGAGGTAACTCTACTCTCTGCAAAAATCTTTTTTTGTTGATATCTAGTCTGCTAATAGAAAACAGCATCCTGCTTTTCCCACCCGAGGCCAATGTACAGGGGATAGGTGGGGTGGAGCTACACTGATGACACAAGCATTCATATTTGGAACAAGAATGGTCTTTAACAAAAAAAAAAAAAAAAAAAAAAATTAAATCCTCTGACTATTCAAAGAAGTAGAACTCAAGATGAATCTTTTCAAAATGGAAACTATGATCTGGAATCGAAATGTAATTATGGTGCCTGTCCTTCATAAAAAATTCAAGATGTAGAAATAGTAAAAACTAAACACTTCAAATACTTCAGTGTATGGATCACTTACAATACATTTTATATTAGAAACTGATCAGAGAAGAGGCTATGCTAGGAGTAGTTTCACTCAACACCTTAAGTTGCTACAAAACCAAAACATTGACCTAAAAAACTAGTTGGGTACTTACTCTCGTCAGATGGTGCCAGACTTATTCAGAAATATCCAAACTGTCAGCTGTATGCAACCACTTATCAATGCTTAAATGACTTTGAGTAAGTGAGGTGTGAACGTCTTAGCAAGCACCATCCCTCTTTGAACCCATAGATTAAATAAGACACAGTTCAGAATTCTCTGTAGGTTGCCCAGCTCAATGTACCTGACTAAGGAAGACTGGAGGGCATAATAACAGAAGTGTTGCAATAACAACAATAACGATGAGGACAATAGCCCGATTAGAGAATCGCAAAGAAAGAACTGTACCAAATAACAGAAACTACATCACTTAAGGACTTTCAACAACAGCAGCAGCAGCAACAACAAAAATGGGTCACACATGTCACTTGAAGAGAGAATAATGACATAATGTTGATGTTCCATACTACCCCCAAACAAAAGGCAAGAAGGGAAACCCTCTTCAACACTGGAAAGTGCAATAACAGCTACTGGACTTGAGAAACCTATTTTCCTGAAAAATTGTTATTGAGATATCTTATAAATTTCAGACAATGGTAGTACTAACTTCTTGATCAATGATTATTGAATGTTTCCTTTGAAAGAAATGGCTAATATTAACATTATTATTGATGGAATTGGTGATTTTGTTAAACCATGCAAGTTTACATTCAAGATCTTGTTTAATGCTTGGCTATCTTGTAGGGGAAGATTTATTATTCAGACATTTATTCTAATGATTACAGATGAGTGCCTCCTAAAATTTTGGACACTAAGAAGTTCAGATGTCCAGGAAAAAAGTCACAAGGGGCAAAGATCTGGGGAATATGGTGGTTATTGGACCTGGGGAATGTTGGGCTTAACCAAAAACAGCTACATAATCCATGGTCATTGATGGAACCTCTGTAGTGTGGTGAGACACACATTTTATATATTTTCCTTTCAAGCACTGCTATAAACACCGGAAGTGAACAAGAGTATTATAACTTAGTGTATCTGCACGACAGCTGAAAGTCAATCTGTGCCAAGCAGCTTCACTCTGTATACTTCAACTCTGTTACCATAGCAACAGTCCTGATACTTTTTGATCAGATTATGTATGTGATGACCACCACCTTGATGTCAAGCACAACTATTGTAAAACTCCTTGTGCCTTGTACAGATAAGTCTCTTTAAACCGGACAAACTTTTAAAACCTCTGACACAGCACAAAGTTGATAATAGAGCATTTTGGTTTTTCCAATTTTGACCTAAAATTTGTTTTAGTAAGTTTTACTCATGATGAAAATCTGGAAAAAGGTCACAGCCAATGTGTACTTGTACTCTGTGGAAACTGGTGAGCAAAAACTGAATAGTACTAAATAACATAAGAACTAAATGTTATCCCTAGACATGAGCAGTGGAATGAGAAGTCTACACCCCATAGATTAAATAAGACAGTTCAGAATTCCCTGTAGGTTGCCCAGTTCAATGTACCTGACTGAGGAAGACTGGAGGGCATAATAACAGAAGTGTTGCAATAACAACAATAAAGATGAGGACAATAGCCCGAATATAAATAATGTAAGTAATAACTCCTCATCCCAAAAAACAAAACTTTTATTTCTAAATTTTACATAGTCACCTACATTTTGTTTTTCTTTTGACGATGATTATGTGCATTTCTTTGTAACAATTCACCTGTCATTGTTATTTTGCTATTTAGTTTTCATGCATAGTATCTGGAGATCAAATGACAGCAAGTCTTCAGTTATACAGCACTCTCGATATACCTCGAGAGTTACACTGTTATCGAGAAAGTTCCAGTTCTTTCTCAGATTTCCAATTTTTCTGATAAATGGCAATAATCTTTAAAACAGTTTGAAGCAAATTTATATTCTACATTTTTAAGTCTTCTGGCAAGGTCCAGATATTTTCCAGCTTAAAAAAAAATCTGAAAGTGCAAATGATTAGGTCAACTTATAGCTATGGTCTTCTGTAGGTCAAGCAACTGGGCATTTAAGGAAAAAAAAAATGTCAAAACTACTAGGTAGCATGCACACTTGAATATTGAAAGCTGTGTTAAATGTCACATACAATTAATATATGCCCAATGGGGAACTAGATGAGAACCTACTAAAGATTTACGGACACAATCTGTAAAAGGCAAATGACATATACTGGCCATTGCCAGAAAAGTAACAAGAAGTCGTGCATCAGCTTATATTATGGAATCCAAATTATAGGAAAAGATCAAAGAGGCTGATCAACAATAACCTTCATTGATCAACTTCTAGGTGACAAATCAGAATCAAGAGAAAAACTAGTTAGAGCTATGATAATATTAGCCATTTCCTTATAAGGAAACACTTAGCATTCATTGACTGAACAGCTATTGCTGCTGTCAGTTGAAATTGATAAAATTTTCTATTAAAACTTTTTCTAGAAAATAAGTTTCTCAAGTCCACTGTTATTGCTCTTTCCAGTATTGATGGAGGTTTCTTTCCTAACCTTCTGTTTGAAGTGGTATGGAACATCAAAATCTTGTTTGTCATTATTTTCCTTTCAAGTTACAGGTGCTATCCATTAGTTGTCATTGTTGAGTCTTCAAGTGATGTGGTTTGGTATAGTGCTTTTGTAGTTCAAGTCCACAAGTTTCAAAGAAGAATGGTCTTCACTAAGACTACAGGCCTCATTTGATTAAAGCAATTTTTAAACATGAAACTGAAAAAGCAATGGTTACCATTTAGATATTTCTGAATGGATTTGGCACCATGCATTACATCCAATATGAATACCTCAATATAACAGAAATGACTGAAAAAAAAAAATCAGTCATAAGTGTTTGTTTCTGAATGATCAGATAGATAGTTTCATTCTCTTAGACTGTCTGTCCATAATCTAACAAATCTTCATTTATAATAACCTGGTCTTGGCTTGGGTAGTCTATATGAAATTTCAAGTCCTATAGAATTTTTTTTTTTTTTTTTTTTTTTTTCATGAGGGGAGCTTCTGCTATGCATAGTCAGATCCTAATCATTTGCATAATTCCCTGTAAACCTAAATTTCAACCAACCATGTTTTTTTTTTATATGCCCAAGTTAATTTGTTATATTGACTTAGAAACAGGGTCTGGATTTAGGCCTTATGAGGTCCCTTGTCTAATAGAATTTGGGGCTCCTTCATTACATTCACCACCAATGTCTATATCTTTTTAGATGATTTTTGGGTAAAACATGAAACAATGTTTGTTTTCCATCCTACAGAAATGTATCTAGAATGAAGGGCCTGCATTACATTGAAATTCTAGTATTCAAATGCACTAGCAAAAAAAAAAAGGAAAACTTGACTTGCTACAGCCTTGTGATTCTAGATCTCCACAGATGAAAATAAATGTATTTATATTTGTTAAAATTGTCAACTTCAAATAGTAATTATAAATCCTAAAGATTAAAAAGAAAATAAGATTCTTGTATTGTATAACATTGTCATGAAAGATAATAACAATGAGAATTCAAATACACAGATATAGTAGAAAAAATAATTTTATATTAACTTTTGTATTGATTTGTTTGCAGCAGTTTTTGATCAAATCATCAAAAGAAATTTCATGCAGTTTATCACTCTCAGTACATAAAATGCTGAATGCAGCCAATTTATTTTGAGTAAGAGTTGATCAAAACTGACCTTTTTATTCTTTTTAATTGAGAAATAGATCTTTCACCAGAATAGTTATCATCACACACAGAAAGTCTTAAAGCAGATTTGATATTCGGAAATGCTAAATTTAAATTTATTTTGCCACTAAAAATAAACAGATATAAATTTTGATGTAAAAATGTGTTTTTATCAAGAAATTTGTTTTGCATACATATGAAAATATTTCTATAAGGAATGAGTCATTCACACCTTCAAGCACAAAGCTTTGATAAGCTTAGCAGCACCTTGTGACAAATCCATTTTCAGAAATTTAAAAGAATCACTCTAACCAGATGGTCCCAAATACTCTAAATTATTTCCAGTTAGTTCAAAGGAGCCTCATTAAATCTAAAAATAAACAAATCTCCTCTGTTTCATTTGTTTGTTTTGTTTTTTTTTTTGTTTTTGTTTTTTATATCAGGAGGCCAAAACTAGAGGGCCACTGGGCTGCAGCCCATATATAAATCTGGCACTGTGCTTATAAAACTAATTTTTTTTTCATCTCCTTCCCTTAAAATAGATAACATTTGTTTAGGTGTGTCTATTTTGACTTTCATTACATAATTATGTAATTGCATCAAAATAATTTTCTAGATCCTTCAACCAACCATCTTTTGAAGTTTTTATCAATTAACTCCAATGTCAATATAAATTGTTTTTAAGGATAAATATCTCTTTTTTTTTTTTTTTCTTTTTTTTTTTTTTTTTTTTTTTTCATTTCCTATGCACAAACTAATTGCTTTTCTTTATGCTAACAGGGATGGACGCCTTGAGCAGGTACTTCAGACTCTGTAAACCATTAACTAATAAATCTTCCTACACACACCTTTTGGGCTGGATTCGTAATGCTTTTGCAAATATAGCTATGTTTGATTACCCATATGCAACTAGCTTCCTTCCAGTTGGCCATCCTGTCGATGTAAGTTTTTTGTCTTTATTCTAGAATGAATATATTAAAAAAGAACCATCTAAGCTACAATATTTCAATATTTATCTTTCATTGTTGTGTTTTTTTCTTCCCTTTTGAGTTTTTTATATATATATATATATATATATATATATATATATATATATATATAATCAACAAAAGAATTTAAAATATTCTTCTTTCTAACTGGGATTTTGTAATAACTTAGAATATAATTCTTACCAATTGACTTTAACATCTTGATATAGTTATTCAATTTCTTAGAACATACACAAGAACATGTGTATCTTCATAGAGGTTGTGTGCATGCACGCACAATATGCAAACTAGTATTTCAAAGTTTAAACAGTGTATTCTAAAAGGAAAATAAATGCAATACAGACTTTTGCCACTTCGGACTTGGGTACTACCCCTGGGAAGAGTAATATTGCTAAAGGAAATGCACACACCATAGTGTGTGTATAATGTGTTCATATATGATTAAAAATAAAAATGTACTGTCCAGCACAGGAATTAAGCATCCAACCAGCTAGAGACTTTAGCATTTTATGGAGATGTCACCCATATTGAATGGAATAAGATCACCCAATGAAACTCTATAAGAGATAAAGCTTTTCCTCTCTAGTCAGGATTTTTTTTTTTTTTCCTGGAGAACCATTCTTACTCAGCTTTAACCCCATTCAGGATTTTTGCCAGTTGGTCGAATGCTGAGAAAATCAATCGGAGAGTGAAAGAGATGAGAAGACTAAGAACAAATATATATATAAATATATATATATATATATATATATATATATATAAATGTCCAAATGTAATGAAAAAGAATATAAATTCAAACGTTCATAACATTAATTTAAAAGAGGGCTCAGTACCAAAAGTAGAGCAATAGTTATAAGTTGTTACATACGGACAAACAAGTAATCACTACAAAGATGCATATTTGTCTTGATGCTTAAACCTAAGTATCTTGTGGTTCGAAACAAGTATGCATCTTTGTAGTGATTACTTGTTTGTTTGTATGTAACAACTTATATAATGTGAATAGAAAGAGACAAGAAGAGAAATTATACTTAGCCGACATGTTTTGTCATCTGAGGAACTTAAGGCAGTGTAGGATTTATTACGCTGCACATGTTTATATACAACTGTGAAGATGTTATTGGTTTATCAAGGCTTATAAATTTGAGAATGTTCATCAGATGGTTGAAAGGACAGTCGAAAGCATGTGAATGACACTGCCATAATTCAGTCTGGTAGAAGTAAAGTGAGCAAGTAATATTCAATAATCTTCTTTTATTTATAAATGAATATTGTTTGGATTGTGATTAGATTGTTATGGGTGTTTGTACTGTACATCTTCAAAAGCTGAAGTGATGGATTTGACCGTTTTCCTTTTGATTTTTCAACATTTGTGTTGTCGATGTTGACTTTGGAAAGTAATTCTTTCAGGAAAGGTGAGATTGGAAAAAACCAGGGCATAGTTTTATATTTTGATAATATTCAATGGTGGCACTCTTGTTATCTTTTTATGTATAAGATCCCTTTTGTGGTTAAAGATTTTTTTTTTTTTTTTTTTTTTTTTTTTTTTTGTTTCTCCAATGTATTGTGGGGAAAAGTCTTGGCAAATTATTTTATATATGCCTGCTTCTGAATTAATGTTACTAGCTGAATTACCCACACTTTGCTGCATGTCACTTTTTTGTCAGGGAAATGATCATTGATTTTAAATCATTATAATTTGTGGAGAAAAATGATACATTTTAGTATTATTCTATGATCTTGCCGATGTGACATCCATCTTCTGGCTTTCCCTTATTTAAATTTAATTTAAATCAAAAGGAAAAAAAATTTTAAAGTGAGGACCCCCCTTTGATCAAAATGAAATATACTTAACAAAGTACCCTAGGTAATGTAATTTCAGAATATATATGGTCTATTTCCAAAACCCTAGGAGGAGCTCAATAAGGCAGAGGCTACAACTTACATATAGCTGCATGTGTTTTTTTTTTTGTTTTTGTTTATTTTTTTTATAGTTCTGATCATATTCATAATGGTTTTGGTGATTTGGATGTTGTTCAGATAAGTAATATAATCCTACCTTGTCTTGATCAAGTCCCTCTGAGGACAAAATTCATCAGCTAAGTATAGTTATTCCTCTTGTCTCTTTTTATTCATTTTCTCTCTTCTACACTGAGAATGAAAATATATGCACATACATAGGGTGGCAATGAAGTTACTTACAATAACAATTAAGACAATGTAATTAATCTACAGTCCAGGAATTTATTTTTAAAATTATTCTGGTTAATAATAAAATGGTATAGTAAATGAATTATCGGTACTGTTTGAACTGCAAGCCACCTGCTTCAATGCTTTGCTTTTCTGTTATAACTGCATTGTGACTTTGTCGTCCTTTATATATATTGTGTGCATGTGTATATTTAAAATTTGCCATATTGGAGATAGTATTTATAGATATAAATAGTGAACATAGGGATCAACAATGCATAGTGAGTGTCAGTTTCACACCACAAGTGACCATAGTCTGAAGATTGCTGAAGCAGAAGACTATATTTCAATGTAATATTTAAATTTTACAATAAAGTACTGTGTGTGAATTTAATGCCTGAAACTCTGACTAGGGTCATAAGTGAATATATAATTTTTATATTGTGTGTGTGTGTGTGTACACATTTAAAATCCGGTACACTACTGGATTTTTGTATTTGTTTCCAATGTCTGATTGGATTTGATTGTGTGCAGTGGTATAAGTGAAAAATTGTTTTGTTTTTCTTTCTTTCTTTCTTTCTTTCTCTCTTATTAAATTTTTTTTCTTTTTTAATCTTTCAGGCTTCCTGTGAGCATATTTTAGCAGCATCTGATGATATTTCTGGATTGGCTGTAGCTTCTGGTAAAATATCTTCCTTGAATTCTTTTAGTAGTTTTTGCTTGAATATTGTTTGTGTTTAATACTGATGAAATCACAATTGGTGAACTTTCGTTTTCAACAATTTAACTCAAAAATCTTATTTGAAAATTGTTCGTTGCAGACAAAAACTAAGACTCTTCATGTTAACCCTTTCCAGAAAGAACAGACACATCTGGCCAGCCAAATGCATACATTTGTTTACAAAGAAATCAAGACTAATTTACTGTAATAACATGAGCATTTAGTATAATTTAGTCAGCTGAAACATGGCAGCTTCCATGTCATAGTGACGTGCTCAAAAATTAGCTTTTTTTTTTTTTTTTTTTTTTTGTTGTGGTGAACAGCCCTGTAAAAGCAAGAGAACCAGAGTGGCTTGCATCTGGTGCATAGGAAAATAAGGGTCTTACCTTAACGGACAGCATGTGACATCGGCAAGTTTGCTCCATGACATTACTCTCCCGTCTAGCAGCTCCAGCAGTATATGCAGTAACAAGGGTTTTTGTACAGTTTGGCATGCTTCCACCAATAGCAAGTTGTGTGCTGATTCGTCGAACTGGAGGAGGCTATTTGCTGGGTAACTGAGAATAAAAGCGAAGAACGCTGATTGGTTGGTCAACCACAGTGTTGGCCTGATAAAAGGAGGGTTGAAGCGGTGAAAACGGGAGTACAAAAGACGGATCTACGTTGTGAAGTGTTCAGAAAGCAAGAACGGCAAATTGAACTAGCGGTATCTTGATTTGTACAAGTGACGTCCTGGTAATAGACTCATTTAAAGTACAGTTAAAAAAAAAAAAATTTAATCAATAGACTATCGAATTTCAATCCCATGTGATTTTGCAGATGATTTTTTGAGTCTGATGTCAAGTTTGAACTGGAGAGAAATAGATGAATTTAGTTCTGAAAATGTCTAACAGTACTGGTGATTGACAAAGTACAATTTTATTCAGTTTCCATAGAAACAGCTACAACCAGATATTCAAGGCATTTATGAGTTCAAGAAAAGTCTGTAACATGAGCATAACCTGACTAAAATATATAATCTGATTAGCACCTAAAGTGTGAAAGTCACCATGCAGTGTTGATTTCTAGGTCCACACTGTTTATATCAGCAAATTCTCTATCCACAATATTTAGCACTTTTCCCTATACATATAAAAAATTTAAAACTCTATATATATATATATATATATATATATATATATATATATATATATATATATATATAGTTAAATCACACTGATAGCACTGGGTTTTGTTCAGCCACCAAAGTTAAGCAATGTTGATTAGTAATTAGATGAATGACTTTTTGGGAACATTAGCATTAAGGAAGTAAATCCTGACCAAAAAGAAAAACACCTTTGAAATGCAGAGGTGGTAAAAGATGACAGTGTGTATGATGACACACCTATCATACATCTATACTTGGTGAAGGAATGCCACTGTCAATGGCAAGGAAAATAAATGAGAGTGCAACCCTTTAGTTTTACCAAGTTCAATTGGCTTACAATTTGGGGAAAAACCTGTCTGGGTGGTCCTCCTTTCTGGTTGTTGGAAAACAAGTGGATGGAAAGCCAGTATCTATATAATGAATTAGGCAGTGAGTGTATAGTGATTCATTTTCTGTGACTGGAACATGAGAAGTCAGTTAGAAAAAGTTTGCCTTCTTGTAGCAGAAGGTAGACATTGCTGACTTAACGAGAAGTCGGATGTTTTTGCTATTTCCTGACCTAAGAAGTCTGGAAGAGGATTTGTTGCTATTGTTGATGGCAATCACAGCCTTAATATTGGTTATTGAGTCAAATTTGTGGAACATAACGAGTGTTGGTGTATTCACATAAAGCCAACCATGGATGCTATCACAGCTGCTGCAACGACCTGCAGAATTACATTAACATGCCATTATCATTCTCCAACATGCTTCAGGTGACATTTGTTGGATATCTGCTAGCACTGTCATTGTTTTACTCTACCGACAGCTTCTATACAACTGCATAGAACATTATTGTTGCGTAGGTTTTTTTTTTTTTTTTTTTTTTTTTTGTGGGATAACAACAAAAATAATCTACACATCAACTTCCTAGTATTATTCAATGCATCTGTATAAAATCATTTGTTCCTGTTTATAATTTTTTATTTTTGATATGTTGAATTGTTAATATACTGTATTTGAACTATTGTCCTCATCTTGATTATTATAGATGTTGTTATAGGTACATTTCAACCATGTATCTTCAGTTTTCCATTATTTGATTGATATATCTGTTGATTATTGTGTTGTCATGACTAAAAGTTCAATCACTTAATTAAGCAATATACACTTCTTCAGCAAGACCGAATAAGAACTGGCATCACAGACACAATAACATTGTAATCAACAGACTGAATAATAATGATCATTTTTATAGTTGTGTGTCTAAAATTAACCACAGATTTAATATGAAATTGATGAATATGATTATTTTAATTTGCAGGTGCTTATTATAATGCCACTGCTGGTCCACTGCAATGTTTTGACATTGAAAAGGAGTATGTGTCTTGTTCAGACCCAACTGGATGTGGAGTAGGGCCAAATGCCTGGGCCTGGGATTATCAAGTAATTTGCTTTTCTGTCAGTTATAATCTGGAGAGGGAGATTTATAGAATTTTATGCAATTTATTACCAAATTAAAAAAAAGTTATATATATATATATATTATAAAAAAATAATTGCTTAGCGTTAAATTATCCATTTATGAAATTATAGATTTTTTTTTTACTTTCAATATCCTAAAAGACTTTTTTTTTCTTTTTTTTCTTTTTTTCTCAAAGTCTGTTACTTTTGTCTACATTTTTCTGTGCTTGACTGAATAGCTTTAACATTAACATTTTGTACATTTCTGATTTTAAGATAAATAAAACAGTGACAAGTACATTCCAATGATCTTATGGAGGGGTTGTGGGGATGCTGAAAATTTCTAAGTGCAACCGACTTCCCAAAAACTGTCCAAACATCAATGTTACTTTTTTTTTTTTTTCTCCAGGCTATCTTTTTATTACTCCCTTTTTAAACAATTAAAATCTAGCAAAAATACATTTTGGAATACATGTACTAACAGGAAAAAATCTATTTAAAAATAAATAAATAAAAACCACCCTGCTTGTTATATACCAATGCCAGGAATCCCAACTGTCAAAGTATAATGTTGCAGTATATATTTGGGTAGATTATAAACATTTAAACATCCTATGATGATCAGAGGATGAAATATGATTATAAATGATTAAATTATGATTACAAATCAATGCTAAAAAGAATCGGTTACCTATAACTGATGTTTTAATTAGTTTACTTGAGTGTTCCTTTACTAAGTCTGCTACTAAGAAAGTTCAGTGTGTCGTATTAGACAATTTTTCTCCCCAGAATCTCTTACATATCTATAAGTCTCCCATTCAACCATGCTTAGAATATTGCTGCCATATATGGACTGGTGCTCCTGCTATATATTTAGAGATAGTACTAGTTTATCAACAAGGTCTCATCAATTTACAGTTGAATTGGTTAGATGTAACCATTTCTTTTTCTCACACTTCTCACTTGTGGAACTCTCTTCTGGCTCCATGCTTTTCAATCAAATTTAATCTTCAAAAATTTAAATGCAATGTCAATCATTATCAAATGGTCCTGATTACTCATCTATTATTTTTATTTATTCTTATTCCTTCACAATCAGTAAATACTTGTCTTAGTGGCTTTTACTGCCTTGTATGAGGTGAAATGAAAAATATATAATATATATATATATATATATATATATATATATATATATATAAAATTATAGAACACCCTTGAATATAGTGAGGGGGCAGAATATGGTATATGGCTGAAGAGAATATGGTCCCACTGTATCTTAATGTCATAAAAAAAAAAAATGATGTGAACATCAGCTAGGCTGCACATGGCAAGGCAATGTAAATTATCAGAGTTTGAACAGGAGATTATAGTAGATGATATTTAGCAACATTGACATTAATTAATCTACGATATTGTGCATGCACTCAGAATGCCTGATGGAAGGATAAGACAATGCAGGGGTCAACCATGAGACCTTGAAGATCATGACCAAAGGCATCTGGCTAGAATTGTCTGCAGTGACAGACATTTGACATTGACTGAAATCACATCTACATTAAATGCAGGAAATACCAGACACATATTTATCTGCACCCATTCATGGACTCTGTGTATCCAAACAATAATGGTGTATTATCCTGTTGGAATAACCCATGTCATTGGTTTCCCAGAATTGGTCTGTGGAGCATTCTGGAGACTTTAGATGAATGATGTGGCCAGCATGATTGCTGAAGTCTATTCAAATGCAAGTCCTTACACCTGCAAATATCAGGGAGCTATAAGCAACTATCAAGAGCTCTCTGTATGTCTTCTAACCACCTGTAGAATCAATACTACATAGTTGCTGCAATTTACTTGGCTCGAGTAGGGATGAGAGGTGTGCTACACCATACTAGACACCTGTTTCCTGACTTTTAGTACATTGTTGCATTAATTTTTTTTTTTTTTTTTTTTTTAAATAATAAACATTTTTTTATGCACTGATATCCCACATTAAGCATTCTGTTATGGCGATGACATGCAGATAAATATATACACATAGAATTGGATAGAAATTTAGTGCACATATTTTTTTCTTTCATTGCTAAAATATTAATAAACAAATTTTTGCATGTATTTATACATACAAGATATTTGTAAGCCTACCTTAATGTATACTTTTTTTTTTTTTTTTTTTTTGCTTCTGGTTTAATTTTAAAATTTATATTTTATTTCAGGCCTGTACAGACTTGCTGCTTCCTCCTGGTACTAACAATGTAACAGATATGTTTCCTGTTCTTCCTTTCAACAACACTTTGCGAAATGAATACTGTATGAAGACATGGGGAGCAAAGCCAAACCCTGACTGGGCATATTGGGGACAAGGTCAGTAATAATTCTTCATGTTGCCCTACCATTCTTAAAATAAAGTATTAACATAGCACTACCCTGTTAGTAACATTTGTCTTAATTCCTGGCAACTTTTTTTTTTTTTTTCTTTTAAACAAGGTATTTCTATAGTAAAATGATGACTTGCCTTTCACATGTAATAGCTCTATTTTGTTACTAATGCTTATTTTAATTCGTGAAGGTTTTTTTTTTTTTCTGAGGTTCAATGCACAACATACTGTATGAATACCAAACCTCAAACAAAATTTAGGTTAACAATTGTAAAATTCATTGTTTCATAATCAAATTCCATTTTTAACACCATTTATTTATTTCAATAATGATTTTTTCCTAAACTAAGCTCAAAGAAATAAAGCTAAAAATAAATGTTCATGAATGTCTAAATAGAATTGGCAATATCTTTGCCTGATTTTCCACCTGAAATGGGACCTCTACTGGGTGACATATGCAGATAACTTCGTTCATGTTTTCTTCTATCATCTCCAAGTTAGATCCCTACAAGGCATACAGACTTGAGCATATCCCTGCTATTGTCCTAAGGAAACATGCTCCTGAACTGGCTCCTAAACTCTTCAACAAATGCCTTGCTTTCCAGCTTGTTGGAAAGCAAAGCATTAGTATTAGTTACTGCCTTTAAGAACTTTTAAACATTCTGATCTCTCAAATTATTGTCTTATTAGTCTTCTACTTTTTTTTTTTTTTTTTTTTTTTTTTTGGAAAGTATTAGACACTCTAATCAACTCTGAATTGGTTAAGCATCTTATTTTGCATGGTCTTGTTTCAGATAAACAATGTCTTTTGCTTTTCTAGGTTGACTACTAATGTGTTAACTGTTGCTAGTGAATTTAGATAAAAATAGCAAGGCTGTGGCTTTAGATATCTCAAAAGTGTTTGACAGGGTTTGGCATGCTGGCCTTTCTCCTCAAGGACTACAGTGTCTCTGGCTGGATATTTGACAATGTAATTGTTCTTTAACAAATCTGGTAATGAAGTTAATATTAAATAGCCACACTTCTAAATGATTTCACATTAATGCAGAGTTCCCTCACAGCTCTATCTTTTGGCTTATGTTGTTTATCTTAATCAACGACCTTCTTGATATCAGTTCCCAACTCTGTACTTATTTTGATGGTACAATTATTTAACCATTTTAATAGTAAGTATAACATTTCTGATAAAGTAAAACTGGCAGCTGACCTTGAAAATGACTTCCAATCAGTTGTTAACCGGGGTAAGAAATGGCTTATAAATTTCAATGCCTCCAAGATAAAATTAAACTATTTATGCTGATTTCTATCAGTATGGCTGATACTAACCTCCATGAATACAACTAATTGTGCCTTCTTGATCTCATGTTTTCCACTGACCTGAAGCTTGGTCCAAAGCAGTAGTTGGCAATTTCCAGCTTAAAATAACAGAAATAAGTTGGCAAGTGTTTATTTATAGCAACTGTCTCAAGACAACAGAATGCGCCTGGAGCAACAAAAGAAAATTTTACGGCAACAATTTTTGCATGCAGTGTGGTAAAAGCTAATAAAAAAAAAAAAAAAAAAAATTTTGTTTGTAATTTAAAAAAAAGTAAATAATTTAAAATTTTATTAAAGCAAAAAATAACAAGCCTTATTTTTAAAAAAAAAAATTAACTTAAATAAAAGTTAAATTCATAAAACAATATTTAACATGACTAATCTTGACCATAACTCGTGTCTGTCTCTGCTAATTTTTATTTAACTAAAGTTTTTCTTTTCAAATACAAATATAACTTGAAATTTAAACATAATCACTTTTCAAAACTAAATTCTGTGTATCTTGCTTGCTTCTCTTTCAAAATAGTTAATAATTAAATTCATTTACAAAGTGTTTGCTCCTTTAGTGTAATGTTTAAAGTAAAACTTTTCTCCTTTATAAAAAAAAAAAAAAAAATGTAAATTCCCTTTGTATCAAGATACATGACTGCCTAAGCATGTATCAGGCATGGCACATAACTGACCCATAAATATAACCTTAAAACTTATTTTTATATATCATCTGCATATGACAGTTAATTTAAAGAGTCTATCACTTAATGAAAAATGTAATATTTGAAAAATATTACATTTCAATATTATCTCCTTCGTTGCAAATGCAGTGTTTTTTTGTTTTTTTTAGTGCTCACTTAACTTTTAATCACATTTCAGACTTTAAACAGCTCACATGAACAGATTTTTGTCATCAAAAACTGGTTAAAACAATTCTCTTTTCAAAGCATATTCTTTTTCAGGGTCTTGGACATGCAACAAAACACAATTCCATTCTTTTCAATAACTTGAAGTTTATCTTTTCTTTTAAACCAGACTTGAGAACAACAAGCAACATAGTATTTTCTAATGGTGATTTAGATCCTTGGCACCGTGGTGGGGTAAGTAAAAAAATGTATATATAAACTATTTAAGTTTTAAACTAAATAAATCCAACCTTTACCCTTGTACATCGATATCATTTGTTTTAATTAAAAGTAATTTTTTGATATTTTGAATGGATTATAATTTTTTTTTTTTCTTTCTATTAAATGGAAAACTTGTTTCTAACAAAGTTTAGTTCCTGATTCCAGTTATAAATCCTTGCATTATCTTATAAACTGATAGCAATTTCTTTAACCTTGTACCAAACTTAGCTTAGTTTGTCATGGGGTGGGGGCATGATCTCAATAGTAAAGGTTTATTCATTCAAAGTTTTTTTGTTTTTTTTTTTAAGTTAAAGGAGAAAACTGTTCAAATATATTGATACCAATTTTAAATCACTCTTTACACAGTACTAAAAATACATGTTGACTAGTTTGTTTTGTTATTTTAAAAAAAAAAAAAAATTGAATTTCCATGTTTACAATATCTATGCTTTTGTTTTTAGCATAGATTGTCTACAAGTATCAATTCAGAATTATCATCCTTGTCTTAAAAAGTCAATCCCAATTTTCTTTCTGGAGATTGCTAAATAAGACAATCCACTTTCTTTCCAGAAATACCTGTTAAAATTTTTCTTAATTTCTAAAACTTATTTATCAAAGTTAAATTTTATTTATAGGTTCTGAACCCTATTTCAAAAACTGTGCAAGCTTTCATGGTCAAAGATGGAGCTCATCATTTGGATTTAAGGTCAGTATATTGAAAAAAAAAAAATAGTGTGAGTGAGCAACTGATATACACTTCACAAAAAGGGATCTGATATTATGGATTCCCTCAGAATTTTCAGTGTAATGAAAACTGTCTATATTCCTTTAATGACTAATTTTAAGTTCTCCTTCCCAGTAGTCCTTTCCTTTATACATGTTATAATAAAAAAGAAAGTAAGATAGAAAATAAGGCTGGCCAAACACAGGTTGGTAAACAAAGCAAGATTTTAGAAAGTCATGAGCACTTGGGATGCAGCACAACTTTTTCCCCTTCATAGATAATATCTATTTACATGTGGACTATTGTCATCATATTTCATCATTTTGGTCACTGTACTTTCTGGCCTTCATCTGATGTATGTCAATAGGAGTTCTGAAGGAACCCTTTATTTAATCTATAAGGGTAAACTGTTCTTGTTCTGCTGCCCCTGTGTAGGGATATTTCGTTTATTTCTTATTTTTAGTATTATTGATTATTGCTCAATTAAATGCTGCCTAGACCAGGGATTGAACTCATAATTACTATAGTTTGCATGGTAAATAATGTTAACTGCTCACCCGAGAAATTCAGACAGATATATCTTCATTTTAAGTATTAAATTATATTTCTCTTCCAGAGGTCACAATCCACAAGATCCAGTCAGTGTCCTAAAGGTGAGAGCTCAAGAAGCAGCAATGATCCAACAATGGGTGATGAAAAAGAAATACGGGTATCAATAAGATTTTCAATAATTCATCCAAAAAAAAAAAAAAAAAATTCACTTTAAGTGAGCTCAAAATTATTTTATAATCAGGTTTTTTTTTTAAAAAAAAAAAAAAAAATTCTTTAAAATTATTTTATATAAACTAAAATTTTATTTTCTGAATATTCATGACTTTTGTTGTCCTTTCTTCAGGCTTTTTTTTTTTTTTTTTTTTTTTAGCCAACTTGTTTGTGTGAGATTTTTTTATATATATATATTTATAATTACTGATTTGAGTAGGGACACATATACTTATCAAACTGAAAGGAAACTTAATTAAAATATAAAGTCATATGAAAATGAGACGAGGCTAAAAAATTCTATTAATGTGTTACACTTCTCTTGTGAATGTATACTATGGCTTTCTCAGGTTAACATAAAAGACAAAACTTAGAAAAAAAAAATACCTTGGTATCTCTGTGAATATGATAGGCTAAATGGATATCTCATCCTCAGATCCCAATGAATCTTAACACAGTTTTGTCTGGCTTCCTCAGACTAATTCTCCAGCAAAAAGTGTTAAAAAAAATTTCCACTTTATCTTTGATACTATTGTCCATACTGATAAACACACAAAAGGTGATATATTGTAGAATATCCTTTTCTGTTGTAGGTCCCATGTTAAATACTACATAAATTACTAGGTTATCAGACTATATATGCTTCATAGCTCTAAGCTTAGTACTTCAATGTTTTATTTTCCTTGACAATAGGGGGGGGGGATCAGATGAATATTGGTTGGCATAGATCAATGGTCTGCATTTTGTTTTAAGAGAGGCAATTAAAGGCAGTCCTTTACTCAGATTACAACAGTATTTATATTTTAAAAAAGTTGAAAAGCATTTCAATTTTTTCATAGCTACATTACTCAAAAAACAAGAAAAGAAATAATTTCAATCTTTATTTTATTTTTTTTACAAGTCTTAGACTTTAGGGGTGGAAATTTTCAACAAGACCAAGTAGAGAATAACTTTTTTTTTTTTTTTTGGATCTGCTAAGTGTAGATAAACAATAATGAATCTAAAAATTAGTTTTGAAAAATTTAGATGACAAATGGATCAATTGATGAATTGTTTAAAAACAGATGAGGTTCAGTTTTTACATGCTGCACATTTCTAAAAACTTAATTTCCACAGAATCATTTGTAAAAAAATCCCCAACCCCCGCAAATAATTGATATAAAAGATGATAGAAATATCAGCAGAATGTTGAAAAAATAAATTTCTCTTCAAATATACCTTTTTTTTTTTTTTTTTCCTCTTTTCAATGAAACAATAAGAATAAAGTGTGTGGCCTTTATGGAATTTAGAAAAATGTGCCCAGTTCCTAAGCCAGTGTAAACAGTTTTTTACTTGGACTTGCAAGAAATGTTCTTTTTTATCTCTCAGCAGCTGGAGCAAAGTGAGAGAGAAAGAATTTCTTACTGGGTAAAATTCTCTTCGAGATCAGAGAAATTTAAAGCATGTGGCAGATGTACATAATCAGCAGTTGCAGCAGGACGTCATGTTCGATGGTAGGAAGAAGAATAACAACCAAACAAAGCATTCAGTGTCCACATTGCAACACCACCCAGTACAAAAGGTGTGTTTTGGGCAGACCACTGAAGATGTTTGCTGGACAGATAGGACACCGCAAAGAGGATAATTAAAGCAATATTGATCTGAAAAAACAAAACAAATTAAACCATTATTTTATAAAATAAGATTCAATAGTTAATTTTCAGTAAGGATCCAGTAAATATTTGTCTGAAAATTGGCTTCATTGAAACCATTAAGTTTAGGTACTGCCAAAGATTCATTAAAAAATGAGAATAAATGAAGGGGGAGGGGAGGATGTATGCCCAAAATTTTATCATTATTAAATATCTTAATCTTCGAAAGTTTGGTTAAATTTTTTTGCATCAACAGGTGAACATAAAGCAGCTTTTTGCTGTAAAAAAAAAAAAAAAAAATTGGAAATTCTTGCAAAAATCAGGTAATTACTAAACTTTTTTTTCCATTCTTAAAATTGGGTAACTCCAAAAAGAGCATAGCATGATGAAAAAGGCCCCAAACTTAAAAACAAACTCTTATCAAGTGGAAAGGCTAAAAGATTTATTTTAGTAAATTTTTTAGTCCTTTCCTGTATTTAAGTTTCAATTAAGAATAAATGACCCTGATGAACCCCAATGCTTTATTTTGTTTTTTAATTCAATTTGCATTTGAAGTTATTTTGGTAGGATTAAATTTGGTTAATCTTGTTTTTCTTGCATCAGTGGTGGATCCAAAGATTGCTATGAGAAATTTTAGCACATTTTCTTGCAGTAAAAAAAAAAAAAAAAAATTGTTTTGGAAATTCTTGCAAAAATCAAATAATTGTATTTTTTATTCACAATTGAATGAAATTTTTTTTTTTTTTTTTATCTATGACACCCCTATAATTAATGTTTCTAGAAATTAAGTTTTGTTCCTCTATGCACACTAATAAGTTAGAAACAACTAAATTTTTTCTTATGTGCACAAACTTGTAAATATACATGTCCATCCATGACATTATCATTAAAAAGTTGTCTTATATAAACTTTCTCTTGCAAATCATCTGCTCAAAACTTTATTTTTTTTCCCTATTTCATTAAATATTTTTAATTTATGCATTTAAGTTTCAATTAATAAATAACTTTGATGAAACTCAAATTACTAAACTTTTTTATTTTATAAACATTATTCAATTTGAAGTTATTTTTAAAGTATTTTAATTTTTAAAATAATGATTTTCTTACTTTTAGCATAAAAATTTAGAATACTAAGTTTCAAATTAATTAAACTATAAATTTGCTAATTTTCCTCAAACAACATTTCAGAAATATTTTTTTTTTTTTTAAACAAAGAATAAACTCATTTACAAATATAAAAATGACTTTTTCAAATTAGGATTTTGGACATGCTAAAAAGGATTCAAAAAAAAAAAAAAATTAAGAAATACTTTACTCTTTCCTCTTAATAGTAAAAATTCTGAAAGTAAACTTTTTTTTTTCTTAAAATCAAGTTTGGGACCTTTCTTCATGCTATGCACCACACTTTTCCCCAACAAATTATTGTACCTAGTTAAATCGAATCTTGACGTTGTCGAAAATAATTGAAGGGAGATAACTTATAGCTGAATTGTTGCAAAAATCAAAATTGTGAGATTTCAATGAAGCTTTCAAGGCATATCCAGAAATTATTTTTAGATTTTTTTTTTTTTTTTTTTTTGGCAAACAGTTACCAATTCACCCAAAATCTGCAATAAAACTATGACATTATTTAATGAGAAAAGCTTTATAAAAAAGATTTATTAAGGCAACTACTGTCTTAAAAATCTCTTTTCAATAAATAATTAATTTTTACAAGAATTATTTTTTTAAGTCTTAAGTAAATAATTTATATTAAAGAATCGTTTACAATTCTGCATTACTTAAATTGGTCAGGTGATATTGTTAAGTGAAAAACTATACTTATAAGTAGTTTGTACCCAATATTTTTTTAAATGTTCCCAATTTGTAACTATGGTAAGCCATAAATGACCTTCTTTAGAAGGTCACATGATTTAAGAGTATTCTGGCACTCCTCAATTCTTTCACTAAGTTTTTTTTTTTTTTTTTTTTAATTATTATTTCACTAAATACTTTTATTTTATGTATTTATTTTAGTTTTGATCATATTTCAATTAGATAAGAACCTTGAGACAAAACCCAAATTTCATAAAGTATCTTCAAATGTAACTAAATATTAGATAAATAAAGCCAAAAACAGAACCCATTTTTAAATGCTTCTATATTACTTTTTTTTATGCTGTAAGTTTGTTTCAAGTCAGATTAATTTAACTTTAAATTTACTAATTTTACTCTACAAATTTCTTAAGTGAGAAAATGGTTACTTGTAAGATTTTCTGAAATCAAGCAAATATTTGGCATTCCAATCTATAATTGATTATAAATTTAATTTATACCTTAGGTATAGCTACTTAATTTTTCATACCTAAGGTTTAAATGAATAGGAACTGAATACAATCCAGTAAACACAATCCCAACAGTCAAATATGGGGGTGGAAGTGTAATGATTTGGGGTTGTTTTTCGTATAATGGAGTAGGAGAAATGAAAGTCATTGAAGGGAGAATGAATGCAGCAAAATGCAAGCAACTCTTCTCAACCTATTTGAAAAGTGCAACAGGTTTTGGGCTTGACAGATTTTGTATTCCAACAGGATAACGATACATATATGGCTAAAACAACTCAACACTGGTTCAATGAAGATGGAATTGATGTTCTGGAATTGCCTAGCCAGTCATTGGATCTCAATCCAATAGAAAATTTATGGAAAAAGTTGAAAGATAAAAAAAAAATATCAAGGAACTGAAGAAGAATGGGTGATCTTCATGCAAGAAGCTTGTTGAAAATTACAGAAAACAACTCTAGGCTGTAAGGCAGAAGAGGATATGCTACTAAATATTAAATCATGTTAAATACTTTTGGCAATAAAAGAAAATAAAAACAATGTTCATCAAAATATTCAAAGTATCATTCAAATTAAACAATTTTTATTGTGAAATTTAAAAAAAACTTAAATAATTTTGCTACCCACTGTATATCTATAACACAACCCTTCCATTTTTTTTGCCTTTAATTTTCATTCAAAATTTCACATATTGCACACAAGAAAATCCAGTATATAAAAATATTGAAACTGGTATGCTTATCTTAGAAGTTGAAAAATTCCCACCAGCATGACTATTCCAGACACAATTTGTACCTTATATAAAAGAATGTATTTGCAATCATTTTTTTTCTAATAAACAATAAAATAGTAAATTATTTAGTAATTTTTATCAATGGTTTCTATTGCAACACTGATTTAAGATTAAAAAGGTAACTTTTTTTCTATCAAACATGCCAAACCTCAAAAATTTTGTTAGATAAAAAGACAAGTAGGTCTTACATAAAGTCGTGCATAAAGTTGACTCCTTTTGTCAGAGTCAATGAGGAAATTGGAGGCACGTCCGGAAATGATAGCAGAACTGATCAAGGCTGATCCAAACACACGATACAGATGAGCATGAACTCCATTTAGCTTTGAAATGTTAGTCTGCAAAGGAGAAAGAGATAAAGCTAGACAAATATAAGGAATTAAAATATTACACAAAGTAAAATGTTTCATCTGCAGATGATTTGAAATATCTGAAATTTTGTTTTCCATAACATTGTTCATTGATACAAAGTGGAAAGATGATATTAAATTAGTTGCTAGATCTGCTGCTAGGAAAGTTGGTCTGTAACAGGGCGCTGGCCTTGGTTTGACGTTTAGTGGCAAGAGAAAGGAAAAATGGTGATTTGAAGTAATTAAAAATTTGAAATTAATTGCAGATATTCCCAGAGGGATATCTTAAACAATTAGGAGGAATGTGGAAAAAGAAATGGAAAATGAAAGTTAGATTAAGCATATAAAATGAAGTTGATGAGGGAATCAGAAAGAGTTGATCCCCAAATGAATTTTGTGAAAAGTCATTAACATTAGGTATTGTTTTTGTTTCTCTCAAAAATATTTGCTTAGATTTTCAAGCTGATATCGGATTGGAGACAGATCAATTCTTAATACTATGATGCTAAGCCATAAGGTATTTCTCATTAAAAGTTGGAGAAATTTTTTTTTTTTTTTTTTTGGTTGAGGTCATGTGTGTTTTGGACAGCAGACTTGTTGAGCTAATCCAGGCAATTTTTGTTTTTGTCTTCATGCACAATGTCAAACTGGGTTGGGGTGCCCAGGGAGATTTCTTATATAAACCAGAGAAGCATTTGGCTTCATTAGTTGCTAAGAAAATCCACGTCACTCAAAGACAAAAGTACACACATTCTGTGGACGGAATGGGCACACAGGCACAAAATAATTGGGATTGTTGGAAACATGCTGCAAGAACAGCAACTATTACAATTGTCAAAGCAACTAAGGGGAAAATTGAAGAGAAGGGAAAAACAAACCAAAGGCCTCAAAAATCACTATTTTCCTGCCTAGATGTGTAGATGACATATTTTTGTAATACTAAGTTTTCTAAAGTGGTCACTTGTCTTGAAGGGATATTTTTCCTATGTTTGACATTCAAGGATCAGCTTTAAAGATCACAGGAAAAACAAGTTACCACTCTTCCCAGAAGAATTTAGTAAGTCCTTCACAGGAAACACAATGAAGCACTAGGTAATCACCATCAAAACATGGCTTCACTTCAGAGAATGTGATACTGACCAGAACACCCAACAAAAACACTTATATTTAGCCTGCTGGGTACACCAGACGAGAAAACGACTGTGTATGTCTTCCCCCCCTCCTTGCATGGTTCACACATGGCAACCTGAGAGAATTTGGTCAATGTCCATTTATGTTATTATGCAAAACAATTTTTCTTGTCAGAATCTCTTACAAATTTATAAGTCTACCATTTGTCCATGCCTTGAATATTGCTGCCACATATGGTCTGGTGCTTCTATGTATCTAGAGATCCTTGATAAAAATCCAAAGAAACTGCAATGTTATCAGTCCTGACCTAATATCTCAGCCTGAATCACTTTTCCATTTTTAAATATTTCCATGGCAATTGTTCTGATGAGCTTTCCACTTCAACTTTATGAATTTAAGCACAGTACTAGAGTGGCAGATGGATTTCATCATTTCATAACTGAAATTGCCAGATGTCCTCATAAATTCTATGCTAACAGTTTCTTCTCTCACACTTCTCACTTAAAGAACTCTCTTCTAGCTTCTTACTTTCCAGTCAATTTTGATCTTCAAAAATTTAAATACAATGCCAATTATTGCCTTCTGTTATCTTAATTCCTGTTCTTTTGTTTTCTCTCAGTGTTTTTCTCATATTCTTTCACATTCAGTAACCCCTTATGTCTTAGTGGCTTTATTGCCTTGCTTGGGGTGAAATGATTTAAAGAAAAAAGGCAACTGAACTCCATGTTGCCAACAATTTTTTGCTCCACCTTTCTTTCTTCACAGAAAAATAGTGATGAAGAGGAGGGGTTTCAAGATACCAACTGGACCAGTCCATGCAACCATGGTAATGATAATATTAGCCATTTCCTTACATGGAAACATTCAGCATCCATTGACCAAACAGCAAGTGCTACTTTCTGTTGACATTTATAAAATCTTTCTATTAAAACAATTTTTCAGGAAAATAGATTTCTTAAGTTCACATTGTTTTTCCAGTATTGATGGGGTGCATTCTTTCCTAATTTTTTTGTCCAAAATAGTGTGGAACATCAACATATTGATTATATCATTTTCTCAAGTTACATGCATGATACATTTTAGTTGTTGAAAGTCCTCAAGTGATATAGTTTGTTATTCAGTAAAGCTGTGATTCTCTCATACTAATCTACAAGGTTTGAAAAAGGAGGGTCATCACAAAGACCTATAGGCTTCATTTGTTGACAACTATTTTTAATTATTAATCTGAGAAAAACAGAAGACAGTTTAGAATTTGGCAATATGCATGACATCCATATGAAAATCTGATGAGGCTATTTAAGAACATTGAATTGATTCCTTAGGTTATTGTTTTGGTATTGCAGCAACTTGTGGAGGAAATTAGATCCCAAAATGCACTTCATCTCTTATCATATAATCCTGACAGCTTATTTTAGAAAATAGCATTGTTACACCATTTCTAAATGTTAAAAAAAAAAAAAAAATTACCAATTGTCTCTACTTACCCTGATGATGAGTTAATAAATTCAAAAGATTGGACCAAATTTCCTGTACTTTTCCTCTAAAATGAACTTTGGACAATTTGACAGAATTTCCTCATTATTTAAGGGGTAATTGTCATAACTTGGAAACATTGATCATTAAAATTAATCAACACAAAATGTCTGTCATTTTTTAAAGAACATTTGCTGCATATATATATATATATATACACACACACCGGGTGTAACAGCAAAATTGTCCAAATCATGTAACAGCATGGGATAATTGTCCATCTCACAAAATGTTTAATATCCTAAATACCACCAAACTAATTGAGTTTCTTTTTTTCAGGTTTTCAGATAAAACGTTTAGCCATTTTGACACCATTTGTCCTAAGAATCACTGAAAAACCCTTTGAGTTATTCAGCTAGAAAAAAAACAGGTTAAAATCGTTTTGTGTCAGCCTCATTGTCTTCCCAAATGAGCAATGGTGAGAGGAAAAAGATCATTCAGGCCTTCAGTAATGGTACCAACATTCATACTCTGGCTTCCATCTTCAGAGTCCATTCAAGTACTATCAAAAGAACAGTGAATAAGTTAAAAAGAGGGAACAGTGGAGAGGAAAACCGGATCAGGAAGTCACATCAGCAAGAGGGATCATCATTTCAACTTAGAGCTAAATAGATTCTTATTGTTCAAAGTAGAGTTCAATAGTGTTATAAAAATCCTTGGAGAATTCCAGTGAGATATTTAATCATTTCTAATATTACAACAGTTCAAAGCTTAATCTAACAACTGTACAATTTTGCTGTTACATCTAGTGTGTGTGTATGTATATATATATATATATATATATATATATATATATATATATATATATATATATATATATATATATATATATATTGATAAATTTTTAAATTTACTTGTAAATTAATATCCATTTTTCAATTATTTTTATCCCTCTTCCATTTATTTATATATATATATATATATATATATTATACACACACACACACAAACCTTTTCCTGAGTATATAAAAAGCAAAATATACTTTACCTGCATTCTAAGCATCCAAACAGGGAAGGCAAAAAACATGATGCCAAGCATCAATGTCATAACAAAATCATTTCGTAGAAATGTATTCAATTTCGATTGGGTTTCCATGTAACCTCCCCAATCCTTGCTACGAAGGCAGTAAATAACATTGCCCAATGTCCACAACACTGTACTCACTACACTGATGTACAAATGCTAAAAAAAGAGAAAGAAAAATTTTTTTAATTTTTGTTTTTTTTAATATCAAGACATCCATATACTTTATGTACAATGTGTGTGTGTTTTTGTATACACAATACTTGATTCTTCTGTTGCTTTCAACCTATGAGGGTCGAATGGCTCAGTTCTTACAACTGAACAGCCAAGCAACCTGTACATATGATTTAAGGTTTTTGAAGAACTAATTACACTGAAAACAGAGAACTCGTGCATATAGTGTGCCACAAGGTTTCCAAACAACTCTCTTCAGAAAGTTTTACTTATTTGAATTTTAAGACATTTCCCTAGAAAATAAAACCTATTATTTCATCAAAAAATTAAAGACCTACCAGTCTCAATTTTTAAATTTATTTACAAAATAACTAGATTTTAATTACTAGAATGTTGCCTCTCACATGGTAGTGTTTTAAAATTAGAAATATTTTTTTTTGATTATCCACTGATTAACTGTTGATTTTTGTAACAGCTACTTCAGTTTTGTAAAAAAAAGATTAGTTTAAATTTTTATATTGACACTACATTTGGCAAAACTGAACATTAAAAACAGTCTAAAAATAAAAGTAATTATTGTAATTACAAAATGAAAATTTTTCAAATCAGTTTGAATTTTATTCATCTTAGAATCTACTTTATAAGAAAGTTCATTAAGAAAGAAAAATAAATAATTAAAAATCTACTCAAGAGTTGATTTGAAAACAATTTAAACTTTTACAGAACATACCTCTTCAGTCATACGTCCTGTTTTATTGTCCTTGTAGAAAAACTGGGCAAAGAGCTGGGCTAACAAAGCAGAAAAGCCACCCTGTAATAAAAGAAAAAAAATGTTGCAAAAAGTCAGGTGATATATGTTGAATATACATTTGACCCAAAGAGTTGAGAGTTCAATACCTGGCAACAATATAGGTGAACAAAATTTGGGGAGTTGAGTTACTAAGGGAATTAACTGATACTAAGATATCCAGAAAAGGTATGGCACATAAAACAGTCTACCCCCGTGATATATCACCTGAAGAAGGCAGGAGTGTACAACAATGAAAACACCATGAATATGGCAATAAAGCTGAGGACAACAGTCTGAATAGTATAAATAGTTACAATACCTCATCTCAAGAATATAGACGGAAATACATTTTACAAATTACATACTTTACTTTTTCCAGCACAAATTTTTAACATTCGCTTCAGCATATGTAAACATTTGATACTCATTATTTGGATTTTATTGTAACCACATTCCAGTCAAGGCATTCTACATTTCTTTTCTATTGTTCTTTCATTATGACTGATTGCTGTTTTTTTTTTGTTTTTTGGTTTTTTTTTACAGCTTATCAACTCTTTGTGAGTTATTCAAAGCCAAAGCAAATCAGATTGTAGGATGTTGCTTACAGTACCTTCAGTTCCCAAGTGGTCCCTTATCTAAATACTGTCAGGTTTTGATGCTGCTTAACTTTGATGATGTGATCAAGAACTGTTATATTCTGCTTGATTTTACCATAGTCGGTTTTGTTAGTTATCAGAGTGGAAAGTGGAGTCTGCAAGCAGAGTTCAAATCCCCACCTAGACTGTTGTGTTCACTTTTGCATAAATGGCATTGGGGATGACTTGTATCCATCTGCCACCCTCCATCCCCAAGCCATGGGTCAAATAGCAGAGTAGGCTGGGCTCTTGAGCCTTAAGTGGCAGCTAGTTTAGGAGAAGGACAACTTTGAATTAAAAAACCTATGAAAACGGCAACAGGAAATCACTCCACTATCTTTCCCAAGAAGTTATGGTATTTCATAGATAAAGTAAGGAATCCAGGAAAAGGGACATGGTATATATAGTATTAAGAAAAAAAAATAGTTTAACTATGCTTAGAATATTGCTGCTCCATATGGTCCAGTGCCCCTGCTATTTACCTTGAAATCCTTTTTACCTTAAAATCCAAAGAATCAGCAATATTATCAGTCCTGATCTGGTGGCTCACCTTCAGTCAATTTCCCACTAACATAAGGTTGCCTCTGTACATTTTCTATAAATACTTTCATAGTAATTGTTTGGATAAACTCTTCATCATGATCTCTAGACTTTTGGAATTTAAGCACAGTACTCAATTAATGTTGTGATCTCATCAATTTACAGTTGAGTTGGATAAATGTAGCTGTAAATTCTATGCTAAGTTTCTTTTCTCATATTCTCACTTGTGGAACTCCATGCTTTCCAACCAACTTTTAACTTCTAAAAGTTTAAATGCAATGTCAATTACTATCCTCCTGATTCTTAGTAATGTTTCTATTCCTAATTCTTCCACACCCAGTAACCCCTTGCATCTTAGTAGTTTTACTATCTTGCATGGAGTGATACCAATTAAACAAACAAGCAAAAAAAACTAAAAATAACTCTTAGAGATACAGGGTAATAATGAGAAAAGTGTGTATTTCCTGTATAGATATGTATGGTTGGCTGCTCATTTCCATGTATGCCTGGTTGGGTTTGGAAAAAAAAAGAATGAATTCATCCGTGTCTAAATACAAATTTTGATAACTGAGGACTATCCACAATATATCCAACTAGTTTTATTGTCATACAGACCTGATGTAAGTTAGCAACCAATCTAGAAAGAGAGATATTATGGAATATGCATGAACAGACACTCTCCCATGGGGTTACTCAGATACCATTGAGTGAGCTTGTGTACTGCGAGCATCTTTCTGAATAATAACTGAACAAGTAAATTTCTTTTCCATTTCTCAGGAGGCAAAACATAACACAGGTCTGTCAGCCAACCTACAATCCAAATTTCGCCCCCGACAACTTCTAGCTTTTCCCCAAAGAGAAATAACTACTAATAACATCAAAGAAAATGTAATAAAACAGCTGATGATAATCCCCAAAATAAACCTTGAAGACTATTTTCAGAAGAGGAAAAGAGTTCAGCGTCTACATCCCAAAAAAGTATTTTTTTTATTAATATTAAATAGCTCAATACTTTCAGACAGACTTTGTATTCCACTTTCATAAGTTCTTGAATCAATTATTTTTTGTTTTTGTAATTTTGTGAATAATCACGTTGGCCCAGAAATTGTGTATACTTATGCTTAGTTGTCACCACAACATTTCAGTTCATCCACTTTAAAGTTTTCTTGCAATTTTGAGAAAGGTGGTAATCATTCCAACAGTTTTGGGGTCAAATGAAACAACTCAGTTTTGTTATTACATTTTAAATGATTCCTTCTACAGCCTTTTTTCAACCTATAAATATTTTTAAATTCCAAAATTATAGTTTTCTAGATAGTAACATGCCAACTATTTGTGGCAGTAAAGCTGGCATGTTTTCAGAAACAACACCATTAGGTAGGCAAGCAAAAATTGAACACATTATGTGGATACTTTTTGTACAAAAATATATCGTGTTTAAGGAATTTTCCAGGGTTATGGAATTGGAACACAAAACCTTTAACTCCAACTCCACTACTTTTGGCACCTCCAACTTTATGTAATTAACTGATTATGGCCAACAAATCTCAAAGCCTATGCATACACTCCTAACTTGAGTAGGCCTATATCATAACTGGTTTATATCAAATAAAGATATTGTAGTTTTTATATCATATCTATTCATTCTTCAATATTTTCTAACAGAATTAGAGACAAAATCTTTGAAAGGATATAGAAGAAATAAAAATAAAAATGCTATAATGTAAGTTTTTTTTTTTACATATATACTTTTGCAAATACAAAATAACTGCAAAAAAATAAAATGACTTAAAAGAAGTTGAGATGAATTTCTTTAAAGGAAATAGTAAATATACAGTAAAAGAAATAACAATAAACATTCTCTAATGTAAGATGTTTTACATAAAGTGTAAATTCAACTGGAGTCGGAGTCCAATGACTCCTTAATTACTTCCAACTCCACAGCTCTGTAATTTTCATTGATTTTTTTTTCTTCCTCATTCAAAGTAAATATCAACATGAATGACCAAATTTGGCATTTCATTTCCATTTAAAAAAAAACAAAAAAAAAAACAATGAAATTTTCATTTCCATGAATAATATAATACAAGTTTTGTTGTTTAATATGGAAAATCTGTATTCTCATATGATACAAAACAATTCCAGATCACAATATGGGCTTTGTAAAAATCTCATTTACTCTGTAGACATCAAGAAATGCCTTAACCTCATTCTTGTTTAGATTTACCATATTTGATGGCATACAAAACCCAGAGGTTTCTTAGAATATAGTAGAATCCATTAGTCTGTCTGGCACACCTAAAACAGCCATACATTGACCAATCAAAATCAAATTTGGGTAAAGTGCAAACAGGTAAAGAGTTCAAAGTACAGTTGGTTTTACTAGGGTGTGTAGCTTAGTAAAATAAATTTTTCATTTATTTTTATTTTTTTTTTTAAATTAAGTTTTATTATTTAACATACAAAATACTCCCACTATTTTAAAAACAATTTAATGATTAAAAGTAACAAATACTTATTTAATAAAAATGCAACATTGTTTTTTTTGCATATCTAAGTTTTTATATATTTATATTTAATTCTGGTAAAATATAATGCACAGTAGTAGCAGTGTAAATATAAACACAGTAGGGAGAGCAGAGTTTGTCAACCTCGACAAAAAAAAATGTTAGCAATAAATTCAACAATATTAAATACTGCGAGGATTTCAACACACATCTGCATGTTGAAAAAAAATTCTAATTTACTAAATTTATAATAAATTCATGAAAAGAAACTTATTTTGAACTGGTTTAGATAGGGAAGATGGATGAAATTTCAGAAACATTCAATGACTCTTCCTTGCTGGAATGGAGGAAGGAGACTTATACCATTCAATCTTAATGGTCAGCCCTCTCTGCTGCTCCAGTAAGTACCTGACTCCTTAAGTTATCCTCTAACTTTACAAGAACCAGATCAGGCCAAAAATGGAGTGCTGTTGTCATGTTTGAGTGGGAGCTGCCAAGACCTTACTTTCCAGATTTGATAGAGTCCAAAAGTATCTCAGAGCTTATGTGGATGACAAACTAATCTCCACCCACCCTTTCACAGGCTGGATGTAGCAAGCCTTTTGCTATCACTACTTTCCTAGAAAATGCCCAGAAAAACTATATTCTTTGGTCCTGCATTCACGGCAAGGACATGCTATGCCATTTACATTATTAAAAAAAAAAAAAAAATCACCCCCACATTCCTTCCATATTGCATCAGTGAGAAGTAAATTCAACTCTAACAGCTCCTTTCTGTGAACCACTGCTCTGTGGAACCAACTCCCAAGAGGATGCACCCCCCCCCACCGGGTGCTAACCTGTTCAAGTCTAGGATTAACCATTATTTTCCCCTCCTATCCTAACAAATTGCCTCTACCTCAAGTGGACCCCCAGGCCTTGTACAGGGTGAACCTTACTGTTAAAAAAAAACACAAAAAAACAAGACAAAAAAAACAACTTGGGTTGTTGCAAAGAAAATATCATTCACTGGACTTACTATGACTCTTGCCCACATTAGTGTAGTGTGGACAGTGACATCTTTCGAGTTTCGGACCTGCCACCACAAGTAAGCCGAGCCGATGAGCACAATCCCAAACGATCGGATCATAAACAAGTGAACAGTATCAATATGGACATCTGTCTATGGAGAGAGAAAAAGTAAGAAGTACATTAGAATCATTATATTTTTCTATGCTTCCTGAAAACAAATATGTAAACATTATAGTCTGCAGTATTTAATACTTTATAAAATAAATTACAATAAAAATGATCCATAAAATCAATAGGTGAGACATTGCTGAATTTAAATAAAAGATTATATGAACGTAAAAGGGATCTTTTACAAAACAATGCACTCAATAGTCATTCATTGTAATAGGTCAAACCATAATTACGTTTTAAATCATGCAATTTTGATTAAGTGTAGATAATATATTGTGGTCAAATACCTCTCCCTCACATTTTTACAAATATTTAATATTTTATATTAAAAACAAAATTCAAAATGGTATAATTAAAAGCAAAAATAAAAGTGATAAAAAAAAAAACAAAAAAAAACAAATGAGATAGGCTAAACTAACATCTAGATACATTGGACTTCTAAACTTAAATGCTAAGTACATGTCGGTATCTTTAACATTTCAATGAAACCTGTAACTAGCATTTGTTGTATTTTCCCCCACTTTTTCTAAACATAAGACTGATGTCATCGATAAAACTAATTAGTCTGATAAGTTCTTTTTTGGAACAACAAGTGTAATTAGACTAATATGTAAAAACCTAAATCAAAAGCATAAACCAACATTGAACCTAAGACCAGGCTCATGCATATCACTGATCATGCAAAAGCTATAGCAGCATAAAATGTGTTATACGAGCTAATAGAAATAATAATAGACATATGCTTGTAATGGGCTTCTGGCATATATGTTCATATCAGAATGTTGCTAGTGTGGATAGGTGGTAGGATAATTATTTTATCAGAAACTTTGGGAATAAAATGAACTCTCAAGGGTTCAAAATAGATGATATACTTTTATTTATTTTCTTTAGAGTGATGAGCAAGTCCTTTGGTATAGCAAAAAGTTTGTTAAAGACGGATATTGTTAGCAGTCTGGAGAAATGTTTTGGTGTTTGTCAGTGTCAATCTACCGTTTTCTCTTTGCCATGAACAGAGCGGAAATGTCGGTAGCAGATTACCTCTTGACTGCTTCTTCAAGCATCATGCATGTCTGTGTTCTTTTGTTCTATCCTCTCCTGTCATCCCTCTAGTCCCCTCTGGCACTGACCCAGAGGTGTTGGTTTAATTGGTTTATATCCTTTTGAATAGGCTCAGAGTTTGTGGTGGGAACTTTGGTTTCAGCTAACATTAAAAAGTCTCTATGTCAATTTTTTTGATTGGCCAAAATTATTAGTTTTTTTTTTTTTTTAGTTTTTTTTTTCTCAGTGTTCCTTTCTTTTCTGGTTTTTTTTTTTTTTTTATAACGGAAATTATGTGGAAGTTTGTTATTTTTCAGTCACCAACAGGTACACTCTGCTCCTGCAAACTTCCAGTGTTTTTTTGACTAGGTTCAGACTTTTCTTATTTCTCTTTTTATTTGAGCATTGACTTCTTGTAGATTGAGAGAAGTATAGAGAAAGAAAGGGTCTTAAAGGAAGGTGCAAATGTCTTATTTTAATTTGGATTCTTTTTAATTTTGTCTATATATTTTTTCTTGGGACTCACTACAGACTAATTTCAAATCCAATAGACAACTTTACAAAAAAATAAAAATTAAGAAACAGTTTCTTCTTTCATTCTAACTTGAAGGTGCCAACCTAACAAATAAAGGAGAAATGCACCGTCTTTACAAAACTTCTCCATTATTATTCAGATTCCATATCCTACACACACACACATATCTTTCATCTTCATCTGTACAATGACTTACAAAATTAAGATGCAATAATCAAGTATCAAAAATATATATAGTTTTTTTTATAGATCCTAATTTCAAAGTGTATTTCATGTACAGGCCTAAAGACAATGCCCCCCCGCCATCATCATGATTACTACTATTATAGCACATGCATAATAGTTATATATGAGCTCTTCCTCATTTTTCTGTTATCCATTACATCCAGATATATTAATCTTAAATTATTCCGATATTCTTAGTTGACACAGAATGGGTCATTTATGGGTTAAAGTGCTCAGGGATAGAGTGTGTGTGTGTGTATATATATATATATATATAATTTCCTTTACAATTTACAAATAGTAAATATGCAAACAGCACAATGCTTTCTAAACATATCTGGGAGACCTGAATCACATGAAAAATATCATGGAAAAATAATGAAAAACAGCATCAGTCAACAACAATAAGTCCAAAAACTGTAAACTCTGTATGGAAGAGAAAATAGCTATAATTACCTTCCAAGACCAACACAAACTACTAAATAAACAATCAGAACCCATCTCAAAAAGCAGACATGGAAATCATATTTTTACAACATTACTTAAAATTTTGGGAACTAAAAATGAATAAAAATAAATTAATCCAAACTAATAAATAAGTAAATAATAAATAAACAAACCATGAACATACATACAAAACAAGTAAATGTAATAACAACCAACAATAAAGTACTCAATAATAAATGAAGTTAACAACACTATAAATAGCCAAAAAATCACATCCAGATCCACAATTATTTCCACTCAAGAGCCCCCTAGAATAATTCAAAACTGTTACTGCCCACCAAATACAATACAATAGGCTACCCACAATGCATCACTGATCTGTATATATAAATAGTCAAGCAAAAACAATGCATATGGCCTAACGATTGCATTTAAGCATGAAAGTAACTGTTGCTTCTGGGTGTTGACTTTAATGTCCACTTATATAGTTTTCATTTCAAATTAATAGATTAAATTTAATATTTCCAATAAGCAAAATAATTCAAATTAGTTTTGAAATAGAGCAAAGTGACTATTTTGTTTTTGTTAAAAAAAATTTGATTTTAGTCCCATTTTTTAGCCTGCATTTATTGCAATCCAATTCTCTTTATTATAAAATCTTCCAAAAATAAAATATATTTTTATGAATCTTTATTTTAGGAAAATTAGCTGATTTAAAGTATAATTCATTTGACATGAAACAACTTATTTACTTTAAGTTTAAAATATTACAGAAATGAACAGTGGCTGTTTATTTAAGCTGTTGATGTGTTTGATAGCATGATGGCAGACGGATATTTATCTAATGTTTTTCTGTGAAATAAAGAAAAAAAAAAACAACAAAGAACCTGAGCGTCTTTTATATCTAACTTTTAAGTACTTAGTGATCTTATAAAATTTAAGAAAATATTCTCTGTAATCTAATGTTTTATTGAATTTTAGAAATTTTGGCTTTAAATTTACCATAGTTATCACTCTTATTTTCTGATAATGTCATGTGTGGGCATCCATATCTACAATTATCAACACATTTATACACATACAAAAAAAAATTCAAAAAAAAAAATTCAAGTTTTTTTAAATTATTGGTGATTGATTTGTACTAAACTTTTTGTTATAAAATAAAATGACATATCTTGGCTGATTTACAGGCAAATACTCAAGAGCGAGAACCGGATATGAACGGGACAAAGCCCCGTCACAAAATGACCATTATCTTTCTTCACAAATGTTTCCGACACACGTGTTCCGGTCGAAAAATAAAATAATATTTAAAGTGCTCTATTTTTCGTCCAATAAAAATGCTTCCCTCCTAATTATACTCGCTTCGTTTCTCGAGCCTGTTAAGCCATAAAAAAACGCTGTAAAAAGGGTCACGGGGAAGTTCAGCGGCAGTCAACAGGTGGCCACAAAGGAGACCGGTCACGTTTAGCAGCTGTCAGCAGGAGAGCGTCAACCACCGTCAACATGTGTGAACTACTATGAGAGATCGACCTAGATCCGAAAGCCGGCTTATGAACTTTACCACACCAAGGTAGCTGTCCTAAACCCTTATGTTCCTGTTGAAATAAACCACGTAAATCTATTTCTACTGTTGTCGTATTTCTTTCTTGCAACCATACGCTTGTCTATAACATTTTCCATTTTTAAACTTAGATTATTAACTTTAATTAATTCCAATTAAAAGCTTTTCTAATTAAATAATGTTTTAGTTTTGTTTCATTTTTCTATTTTACAATCCAGAGTAAATTTTCGATAAATTGTGTTTGTTTGATAAAAAGATAAAGGATTTAAATTCTCCAAGAGCACTGCTTTAACTAATATAAGTATGAAGTGGGTGGGATTTTAATTTCTCAGAATTTCATGAAATTAAGTAAATGGAGGTGGGGAGAGGTAACAGATGTTAAAAAAAAAATGAACAAAATTTTATAAGAAAAACAAATTCAAACAAAAAGGAAAAAAAAATGCTAAAATTTATTATACAAATCTTTGGCCCACTTTCTATATGCAAGAAAAACAAGATTTTAAACCAAAATTTCAAACGTGCTAGAAAGGATTAAAAAATTTAATAAAGTAATAAAAAAATATTTTGGTCTTCCCTCTTCATAAACATTTGGATGAGAAAACTTTTTTTTTTTTTCAACCAATTAGTGTAGATATTATTTAATGTATTTTTTTTTTTTATCTGACATTATTTCTTATTATAAACACTATTTTTAGTGGGTACATGTATTCAAGTTACCATCCCTGTTTTTTTTATTTTTTAAACAGTGAAATTAATAACCACCAGCCTAGATTGAGAGGTTCTACTTTCATTTTAAATCAGTATCACCCCATACAAAAAATTGATGAAATCTTGACACCAGTCTAGTATTGCACTTAAATTCATGAAGTTTAGTTACCACAGCAAAGAGCTTATGAACATTTACTATGGAAGTATTTATAGAAAAGGTACAGAGAGGCAACCTTATGGCAGTGGGAAAGTGACCGAAGGCGAGTTACGAGATCAAGAACGATAAAATTGCCAATTCTTCTTTGGATCTTATCAAGGAGTTTAAGATAAATGGCAGGGGCACTAAACCATACATGGCAGCAATATTCTAAGCATGGACAAATGCTAGACATAGATATGTAAAATTGATTCTGGAGAGAAAAATTGTTTTGCACAATACAGTGAACCGACTTTCTTAGCAGCT